CTATAGATCCCTTATAGGAACCCTTAAAGGACCCCTTATAGACCCCTTTAAAGGTACCCCCCCATTTGTTTCGGAAATTCCTAGCTGCTTCCAGTTGAGCCTGCAAGCAGCCTGAGACCTGAAGCCCTACCCAGAGACTCCAATATCCCTTAATTAGGGAATATACCGGTTTAGGGTTCCTTTAAAGGGATCCTTAAAGGGAGCTTTAGGGTTGAGGGTTTAGGGGATTCTAATATCCCCTAGGACCCGGAGTAGGCCCTTATTCCCCTTTTTTTAGGGCTTAGGTTCCCTTATAACACCCTTTAGACCAAAAAGGGCACCCTTTTTATGCCTAGGTTACTCTTAGGTCTAGTCCCTTAATTAGGGAATATTCCTTAACTCATATTAGGGATCCTACTATAATTTAAGGTATATTCCTTAGTTAAGGGATATTGGAGTCTCTGGGTACAGCAGCAGCAACAACAACAGCAACACGAAGATTATTGGTAGTAAAAGAAGCAGCATAAGTGTAGGACTACAAACACTCATAATGATACTGTCAATAAGTATCACTACGAAGAATACATGTAAGATTTCAGAACAGCATCAAGAACTAGTCGTTAGAAACTAGTGATGACAACAAAGTCAACAATACAAACAGTATGACCAATCGTAGGAGTAGTAATAAGTATACTTGATGTTATGGAAGCCTGTGACAATAAAAACCTTGTAGATCCCTAATGAAACCATAGTAGAACCCCGGCAATAAAGGCCTACACCGCCAGTAATACCACACGGGCTTGTTCTTTGGGTTTGGCGTTCAGGCTTTGGGGTTTAGGGTTCCCCTATTAAAGTATAGGACATGAACCAAAAAACACAGTTCTGATGATTCAGATGGTTCTATCAAAGCATCGCAGGCTTTGGCGTCGGGTGATCTTCGTCGTTCCGACGAACCCGGAACCACAGCGTGGAAACTTTGCACAATTCAACTGCAAAGTTCATTTGTCACCTATAACCCTCCTCTATATAGTCTATATTGGTTTGGGTTCGCAGGGCCAGTTGCTGCAAATGTTGTCGCCTCGTGGTAGTCGTGGTATTTGTCGTTGCTGTTGTTGGTGGTGGCGGTGGCGGTGCTGGCGGTGGGTGGCGGTGGTGATGGGCGGTGCCGGTGGTGGCGGTGGTGGCGGTGGCTGGTGGCAGTGGGCGGCGGTGATGATGCTGGTGCTGGTGCTTGTGCTGGTGCCGGTGCCGATGCCGGTGCCGTTGCTGGTGCTGGTGGTGGCGGTGGCGGTGGCGGTGGTGATGGCGGCGGCGGGCATGGGTTCGGCCTTTGCTGCTGACGTAGCTTGGTTTTGGTGTGGATTGTTGTGTCGGCTTATGTGCTTCGTTGTTTCGCTTGTGTGTGAGTGCTTGACTTTGTTTGTGTTCGTTAGTTCGTGCGTTTGGTTGCTTGTGTGTTCGTGTGTGGGTAGGGTATGGTGTTGTCGCTGTTTTTTGTTGTGTTCTTGCTAATTATTGTTTGTTTTTGTTGGGTCAGTGGTCTTGCGGGGGAAGGATGGAGGGAAAGAAAGGAATGCAGGCCGAAATGAAGAAAGGCACATCGGGAACGCAAGAGCGCAAGAAACAAAGACAGAAACCAAGGCATGGAGATGGAAGGCGGGAAACAACGAAAGAGCGTAAGAAAGAAAGAAAACGAGGGATGGATATCAAAAGGGAAAAGAGAAACAACCAACAAAGGGAACGGACCAATTCCACAAAAAGAAAACAAGGGATGGAAGACGGAAGATAGAAATAACGACTGAACCGAGTAATACACACAGGGCAAGAACGAAACCATAATCAAGGAACGAAAAAGCGGGCTTTGCAGAAAGAAGCGAAAGAATGAAGGAAGAAATGAGTGGGGCGGAATACCGGAAAGCTAAATAGAAAGAATGAGAGCACGCAGGAAAGAGCCACGAAGGAAGCAAAACGGAGGTGCATAATGAAAAAGAAAGAACGGAAACACACCAACAGCGAAGAAAGAACGACGTAAGTACAGAAAGAAAGACCGAACGAAGCAGGAGAGAAAGTCAAGAAGGGAAGAGTAGATCAAAGTAAGACACAAGAGAGGACATGTGCAAGGCGAACAACACAAAGGAAGAAAGATGAAAGGGAAGTAGTGGAACGGGCGTTAACGGAAGGGGAAGAATGCAAGAAACGAAGAAGCAAAGAAATAAAGCAAGAGCGCAATGACGTGCCTTTTCACGGCTTTTTAAGCCGCTCAAGCTAGCTAAGAGGAGCACTCTCAAGAACAGAACATGTAGGAACCCTTTCAGAAAGCATCATGCAGGCATTGTTTTCGCAATTGCCTCCCCTGACCTATGTTTCTTAAGCTGTGCAAGTTTGCTTTCAAGAAGTCAATAGTATGCTGCCATCAAGGAGAATTGCACCACGCACACCATGTCACTGATCGTTTCAAAGCCCGGTCCGTGCACCACTCGCCGATACAGGTGTTGGGTTGTCAGCCGTCCCTTACGAAGGGACTAAGACATGAAGTTATGTGCCTGCAACAAAGTTTCTCAGGACCCTATTATACCATGAGTCTTAGCACTAAGTCCTGAATCCTACACACTATGGCAACCCACGAAAGGCCCTAATCCAGACCCTCAGCCCTCTAGCAGCAGATGTCCCTAAACCCTAAACCCTAAACCCTAGGAATGCTTTTCAGCTGGGGATGCACCTTCACCAAGGCCCAGAACAAACAGGTGGGCGTCCCAGGGTGTTTTAAGTTCCGGTTGAGCTTGAACTCTTCATCACTGAAAATGACTCTACTGTGTCACATGGTAGTATATGTTAGTATATTATGGCTATTATGGTGTATTGTCATTAATAGTATGTAATTTGTAATTACTTTCGCTGTAAGCTCCTTGCGAGTGAGCAACTGCCTGCAGCCTGTTAGGACTTTGGGTCTATCGGGTTTTTGGGGTCTAGGACCTAGGGTGGCCCCTGTAGTTATTGCGGCAGCGTGCACCTGTGGTCATTTACTTCTTTCATGATGTGTCGCAATCGTACTACGGTCATGCGTTCCACGTCATGTCTACAGTTCTATTGAAGGCATCGAGTGATCTACTAGGAGGTTTGATGATGTTTCGAGATTTGGGGCTTAGCAGTAGGGCCCTCAATGAATCATCGCACTGAGGCATTCTTGGCTTCGGATCTCTCGCTGTGACTAGTATTAGGGCTTCGGCCCTTGTAAGGTTTCATCGATCGTCGGCTTGGGCACAATCTGGGCACGCAAGGCTGACGTGAGAAGCTCATGGTCGACACGAGACATAACGAAGCGCAGGGCGACAGAACGGTGACGGCTCGGCACAGATCAGATCTGAAGCCCAATGTGCACTGGAGGTGGGGCAATGAATCCGATTAGTTCCCACAGGCCCTGGACATCCTTGGACCATATCCTACCCTGTCCTACGTCCCTCTTTCTGGCAGTGAGTGGGGCAAGTAGCAAGGGGCTTGTCATGAGGATGTCGGAAGGCTACGGTTTCTTCGAGTCGGTAAAGGCTTACGGCACTGTGAGAACTGAGCAAAATCAGGACGAGACATGTGAACGCGACGAGAAAAGCTTCCGTGAGTCAGTGAGCAGTGCTGAAGGGCCGAAATCACATGAGCCGTAGCAAGTATGCAGGGCGACTATGAGCGCCCAGCCCTCGCTAGACAGAACGAGTGTGTTGCCAGCACTTTCTTGGACTTGGGTTGAAGGACGCTGTAGGGACGTCTTAACCCAGCAAGGATGCGATAAGACGATGACGGCTCAGCTGCAGGGCATGTGAGAACGACAGGCGTAGCCATGTCAGAGTAAAGCCTTCCCACCGCTGGGTGGGAAGAGCTGCGACAGAAGAGCTGCGAGACAGCTGGAGGCCGAGACAAGTTTTCAGCAACCTCTTGTTCTGCACAGTGCTGAGCAACCGAGATTACATGAAGCACGCTAGACACTACCGGGCCAATGTGAGTGCCCACCTTTGAAAGAGAGCTCAGCCGTGCCTTGGAGTGAAGGATAGAACCGGCCGGAGAAGCCGGTCAAGCGAGGCAGTGTGAATGATACCGAAGAGGACGCGATAAGACGGTGAAGCACAGAGCAGATACTGTATTAGGTTCCAGGGGCATGCGAGGCATGAGCCGAAGTGACGTGAGTACGTAGTAGATATAGTGCCGGGCCACCGTTCGTGTCCACCCGGGGACCACTCTTGACATATGTGAAATATGACAGAGAGCCCATCCGTGCTTTGGAATGAAGGACGCTAGATCGTGTGGTTCGCGAAGCCGGTGAAGCAGAGGCACAGTGCGAAGCATACCGAAGAGGGGAAGAGCTGTGACAAAAATCAAGACGAGGCTCGGGGAAGCCCCGAGAGATCCCTTACACACTGCTGATGAGTCGAATTCACGTGGGCTCTAGGGCTATCGGATATCGTGATTCCGCGGCACCCCTCATGGGCAATAAGACGTAGTTATGCAAAGAGTGCACAGCTTTGCCGCGGAGCTTCAGGACGCCAGAACGAGTGATCGGAGAAGCTGTGGAGGCAGAGGCACAGAGCCGGGTGGACGCAGTCCATCCGAGCTGAAGTAGAGACGTAGAATGTGTGCTGAAAGTCTGCGGTAGCCTCCATTCTCTCGACACTTGTCTCAATCGAGCAACGGCGACGCTAGACAGAGCTGAAGAGCCCAGACGTCGTGATAACGACATCAAGAGCCGAAGCAACAGACGACCGAAAGATATCGAGCCATTCGAAGAAGGCTCCTCCAGCCGTATGCGTATGGAGGGCCTGCGAACGAAATGATGTACCGGATCGGAGCGAAGACTTTTCTCAACTCCTCAGTCTCCCAAAGGGTCCAAGTACAATTATAGTAGGTACGTAGTAAGTATATAGGCCCCCAAAGTATATACTATACTATTACTTGGACTCTTTGGGTTTCCTGTCTCTATCACTCCCTTTCTTCTGGCTCGATCCCTTGCAACCTGAACTTGGCATTCAAGCTCAAGCATGAACTCCCTGCAGGATCTGGGCCACGTGCACGGTGACATTTGCAAGCCCTTCCTCTCAGCCTTGACATCGAAGGCGCGCTGGGAAGCTTGCTGGTGCGCCCTTGCTGGCTGTTCAGAAAGGCGTGTGTATGTTATGTGTGTGTGTGCATGTTATATATATATATATACATACATGTATGTATGTATGTATGCATGCATGCATGCATGTATGTATTTGCGCATGTACATACACATATGCATGCAGGTGTATGCACACATAACCAGGCGGCTAGTGAACCATGAAGTAATTATGTCATGAAGGAGTGGCTAATTCAGCCGAAAGTGGCTGGCCAACTAGCTCATCAGTGAACAGTCAGTCAGTTCCTGTCATAGTTTAGACATTCGCCGACCTGAATGCGAAACAACCGAAAGGTGAACGAAGCAGCAGACTACTTCGATGCTGAGCGAGTTCTGGTCATGGGGCTGCTAGGCTGCAGGTGAAGGTTCAGGGTTTGGGCCGAGGTTTGTGTGTTGCTTTATGAGAGGTATCGTGAATCAGATGTGTTTCATGACGTTTGGCATTGCTGCTGTCATCGCACGGGGATGCGAGTGTTGCAGATGCTGCGGTCATCAGTGCTGGGTTTCTTGATTCGTCCACTATCACTCTTCGGTCTTTCAGAGATTCATGTTGCTGCACGCAGTGTTCTCCCTCTTCCGCGACGGAGTCTAGGGCCTAGGGTTGAGGCATCTTCTCCTTGTTGTTCACAGCTGGTTCCCGTTGCACCGCAACAGTTTACGTGAGGTTCACTCACAACTGTATGTGCCATACAGTTCTCTGAGCTTTCGCAGCTCCAACACAACAGCAAGTCTATTGAGCAACATGATGTCCCTTCCCGGTGGTTCTCGCAGAGGTCGTGCCAGCAGCACTGGTGGTGGAAATCGTCGTCGTCGTCGTAGTAGTGGTAGTGGTAGTAGTGGTAGTAGTGGTAGTAGTAGTAGTAGTCGTCGTGGTGGTGGTGGTGGTGGTGTTGGTGGTGGTGGTAGCAGTAGTAGTAATAATAACAGCAGTAGCGGTAACAGTAGCAGCAGTCGTTGCCGTAGCAGTAGCAGGAGTAGGAGAAGTAGGAGAAGTAGGAGCAGGAGCAGGAGCAGGAGCAGGAGTAGTCGTAATCGTAGTGTAGTCGTAATCGTATTCGTTCGTAGTCGTAGTCGTAGTAGTAGTAGTAGTAGTAGTAGTAGTAGTAGTAGTAGTAGTAGTAGTAGTAGTAGTAGTAGTAGTAGTAGTGGTAGTGGTAGTGGTAGTGGTAGTGGTAGTAGTAGTAGTAGTAGTAGTAGTAGTCGTAGTGGTAGTAGTAGTAGTAGTAGTAGGAGTAGTAGTAGTAGTAGTACTAGTAGTAGAAGTAGTAGTAGTAGTAGCAGTAGTAGTAGTAGCAGTAGTAGTAGTAGTAGTAGTAGTAGTAGTAGTAGTAGTAGTAGTAGTAGTAGTAGTAGTAGCAGTAGTAGTAGTAGTAGTAGTAGTAGTAGTAGTAGTAGTAGTAGTAGTAGTAGTAGTAGTAGTAGTAGTAGTAGTAGTAGTAGTAGTAGTAGTAGTAGTAGTAGTAGTAGTAGTAGTAGTAGTAGTAGTAGTAGTAGTAGTAGTAGTAGTAGTAGTAGTAGTAGTAGTAAGTAGTAGTAGTAGTAGTAGTAGTAGTAGTAGTAGTAGTAGTAGTAGTAGTAGTAGTAGTAGTAGTAGTAGTAGTAGTAGTAGTAGTAGTAGTAGTAGTAGTAGTAGTAGTAGTAGTAGTAGTAGTAGTAGTAGTAGTAGTAGTAGTAGTAGTAGTAGTAGTAGTAGTAGTAGTAGTAGTAGTAGTAGTAGTAGTAGTAGTAGTAGTAGTAGTAGTAGTAGTAGTAGTAGTAGTAGTAGTAGTAGTAGTAGTAGTAGTAGTAGTAGTAGTAGTAGTAGTAGTAGTAGTAGTAGTAGTAGTAGTAGTAGGAGTAGTAGTAGTAGGAGTAGTAGTAGTAGTAGTAGTAGTAGTAGTAGAAACAGCTGCAGCAGTGGTAGTAGTAGTCGTCGTCGTCCTCGTCGGCAGCCCTCGCCTTCGTAGTTCGCCTAAATCCTGTCCGACTGCCATTTGCGTGAGCCTTTATCTGAGTCTCTGAGCCCCCAATCCTCGATCCGATCAGATAGGATAGCTTTATGTTTAGGGGTTTAGGGGGTTTAGGGCTTTAGGGTTTATGGTTTAGGGTTACAGTAAACCCCATAAGGTTGGAAACCGGATAAAGGCCAAATAGTGCTGGGATTGCCGGTACATTACTCTTAAGGATTGAGGCTATTGGGTTTTCAACTTGGGCGTCTACCTATGCACAAGGCCTCGAAACTTAAAAGTTTGCTCCCCCAAACCCCACGTCTTACCATCGACTTATAACGTCGCAACAGCAAGGTACAGCATGGGTGGCTTCGGGGCACTCCAGCTGGGTTGCCACGAACCGGAGGCACGCCGCAAGGTACCCACATTCGGAGTAGCGCTATGTGACTATGTGTTTTCGGGCTTGGTTTTGGCATGAAAACCCAGTTAAAACAAATTGAAGTTGGGAGCTGGTGATACGTATTCTGTTGCTGGGTTTGGAGATTGCAATTCGGCTGCAGCTTGTTGCTAGCGGTCGTTGGACAGGACAGTGCCGCTAAACCCCTTGCCGTAAGACACCCTCTTGGAGGCCCTTTTGACTTAGTAAGTCTACTTAGTATCCCCTAGAAACCCTATTATAATCCCCATAACTTACCTTACTAACCCTACTTACTAAGTCAAAAGGGCCTCCAAGCAGTGTCCTCTTCCAGTCAATCCTGGAAGCAGTGCTCGCGAAGGTAAGCTATAGGGGATCCTGCCATTATTTCCTTTTCCAACTTTGTGGAGTTCCCTTTAATTCAACCCCGTCTGAGTTCTTTCTGCAGTGAGGCCTACGATGCTGTGGTCTCGATCGCTGGCTATGGCATGGGTATCTCAAGTTGCAGACCCGAAGCTCCGAAACCCTGAAGCTTAAATCCTAAACTTCCAAACCCGAAGGCTTAGGGTGTATGTGGTCTGCGACGAAGTCGCAGCTCAAGGGCAGAATCAACGGGTTTCGAACTTGCCCTTCGGTGCTAGTGTTCCGATTTTTGGCCCTAAACCCTAAACCCTATAAACCCCAAGCCCCCTAAAGCCGAGCCATCTACAACCCTACTGTACAGGCAGGGTTGACACCCCGAAAGCCCCAACCCTGCACACCCTAAGCTCCAAAACCCATAAACCCGAAAGCCATAATTACACCCTAAACCCTAAACCCCTAAACCCTAAACTAGCAAACCCTAACCCCTAAACCCCTAAAACCTTAAACCCCGAAACCCTAAACCCCAGACCCCAGAAAACCCAAAATCCTAATGAGGTGTCCGGGAGCTCTGAACCCAACACCCCCACACATTACCCCAAGATACCCCAAGGGTCCCTAAGGACCCAACAATTGGGTACTCGGTTTTAGGATAGTAGTTATGCAGGTTAGGATTTTGGAGAGTGTATGATTATTAGGTACTTGGACCCTTGGGGTTAGACACCCCAGACCCGTCGGACCATAAGCCTCGCCCCCCAACCTGTCAGAAAGCCTTCAAGCCGCAGTGGGCAGGGTGAAAAATCAGGTACCTCTACTTATAATTCCCAGTTAAAGTGTTTTGTTATTGTTCTTACTACTTGGGGGTTCAGGGGTAGTTATAAGTGGGGTTATAAGTCCCTTAATACGGGTTATAAGTAGTTACCACACTTATAACCCTACTTACAAGTACCCATGAACCTCCAAGTAAGTCCCATGAACCTGCAAGTACAGAGCCGCGGCATCCCTTGTTTGCGGAATGGCCCGCCCACACTGGGTTCCTAGCAATTTGGGTCCATGTACTAGGTGCCGTTTGCTTACTTTCTGAAAATCTGTACTAAGGCCCCCTCCATGTTTCGCAACTCGTTATGGGATTCGATATACCTTACTTCAGCGTCCCTTATTCAGTGTCAGGATGTGCGTTCACATCTGACGCCAGCTGCTAGCTGCTAGATTCGTCTGAACCCTGGACCCTTGAGCCATAAACCCTACTGAACTCCACACCCGAAGCCTAGAATGTTGGCCTCTTCTACTATCCGAGGTACCTGTGAATCCACAGAGAGCTCCGGCGCCCCACAGCCCAAGGGACGTCACTGGGATGCATGCCGAAGGGACGGTTCAGTTTCGGGACTGCTTTTCTTGAGGTTCCTTAGTAGCATGGTGCTGGTATAGGCTGCCCCGACACCTTGCTTGGAAGGTCGGGGGACTTCGTAGCTGGTTATTTTCGGGACTTATGAGTCCGAGAACCCCAATTAGGGTCCCTTTTAGGGTACTTATAAGTCTACTTACTACCTACTTACTAATTTCCCCGACCCTCCAAGTAGTCTAGCTGTGTTGGGGGTTCATGGGTTAGTTATAACTGGGGTTAGAAGTAGGGTAACTATATTTATATCCCATCTTAGGGGACTTATAAGCCCATTTATAACTACCGGTGAACCTCCTAAACAGGACTTTAGGGTTTAGGGCTGAGTGATTGGCTTCGTGGGCTTGATATCGGAGAAGCCCCTCTAGACCTCTGTCGTCCCGCAGCGATATCGTTATATCATCTGTGCCCTTTCTATCTTTATCACCGAACAGAAATGAGAATCGGATACCGTTAGTCTTGAGTGGATTTTGGGGGAACCGAGTTATACAAACCCTACAGAACTAAACCCCTAAACCCTAAACCCCAAATCCCACAACCCCTAAAGCCCTAAACCCTACTTGGAGGGTCGGCAGACTTAGTAACTGGTTATTCTAGGGACTTATAGGTACCATAACCCCAATTAGGGTCCCTTTTAGGGTACATATAAGTCTACTTACTACCTACTTACTAAGTCCCCTAAAGCTCCAAGTAAACCCCTACACCGCAAAACCCCAAACCCCTAAACCCTAAACCCCAAATCCCAAAACCCCTAAAAGCCCTAAACCCTAAGCCTTCTTGTGGGGCACTTATAAGTCTTCCTAAAACCCTAAACCCTAAAATCCTAAACCCTAAAATCCTAAACCCTAAAATCCTAAACCCTAAAACCCTAAACCCCTAAACCCTAAACCCCTAAACCCCTAAACCCTAAACCCCTAAACCTTAAGCCTTCGGAAGCCCTGAGGCCGGGTTTTCGATTGGTACTTGGAGCGCGAGATCCCGCAACTCGCCAGCGTGCCCATCGTGCTGGCGGCTTCTTGTCCGAGCCTGGCTTTCGCCTGGTTTTAGGGGTTTTTGGGGTTTGTGGTTTAGGGGTTAGGCTTTTGGGGTTTTGGGTTTAGGGCTTTTGGGGTTTTGGGGTTTTGGGGTTTTGGGGTTTTGGGGTTTGGGTTTAGGCGTTTAGGGCTTCGGGTCTGTAGGTATTGGTTAAGGGTTATAGGCTAACGGTACAGGGTTTAGGGTTTGGGGTGTAGGGCTTCGGGTCTATAGGTTAAGGGTTGTAGGCTAACGGTTTAGGGTTTAGGGTTTAGGGGGGCTTCGGGTCTATAGGTATTGGTTAAGGGTTATAATAGGGCTTGCAAGTTTTAGGGTGTAAGGTTTAGGGCTTAAAGGCTTAAACATGTCGGGTTCAGGGTTTATGGTCCTGGGTGAGTCGGTTACTGGCTCCTATTTGTCCAGGAGCTGTGGTCATACATGCAGAACTGGAAGCTTCGGAACATACCCCTACATTGCACATACGACCGCTGCATTGCACATGACAGAGCGAATGAAATCTAAGTATCATTCGACTCGCTTTCTGTAGATATCTCTCGACACGTTGTTTCTCGTGGCCTTCATCGCTGTTTACTAGCATTGAACTTCTACTTGGCATGCCGAATGTTCCAGCAGTTCCGCTTACTGCGAGTATCCCGTATTGCTTTGCATCCAGTGTGTGTTTGTTGGGCGCCGTTCTTCTCTACGTGTCAGTTAGCTGGCCTGTGTTTCCGTCCGTGCTTTTTCGCCCAATACCTCATGCTGAACGGAACTGAAACCTGTAGAATGATGGCCAAATACCTAGAAAACGTCGATTATTCTACAGACTTTTGGGGTCCAGGTACGCCTTGAACCCGATTAAACCCTAAACCGATGATGTGCTCCAATTCTTGTTGCTGCCTGAGGTTCACTGCCCCATCGACACTGTCTCTAGCTTCCGTGACGTGCACCCCTGAGGGGGACTGCTTTGATTTTGCCGGGTTTGAACCTGTGTTGCAAGGTTGGTGCGAGGCTCGGCATGGGTTCAGTGTTTTTGTGTTTGAGTTTAGTTTAGGGTTTCGGGGTTGGTTTTCCGCAAGGCGTGGGTGACTGATTGATGGTTTAGAGTTGCATTAAATCTGAGTGTGATACCATGAGTATGCTTGTGCACGTGCGTACAGGGAGCAGCATCTGTAATAAGACACGGCTCCCATGACACTAGAAGCAAAGGTGGTGCATGACGTGCGAAGTTCCGAACATGTACAACCCAATCTGCAAGAATACATAGCTGCTTCCGGGAGACCGGGCGGCCTTCAGTGGGTGTTCTGGCTTCAGGCATGTTTAGAGTTTCGCGTCTGCGGCCTTAAATCTAGGATGCCCAGTAGTACCCGTATTTCCTATTTGTAGTCCTAGGTGCCCAACAAAGTTTCCCAATACCGAAAAGGGAGCCCTTTTTATTCCTAGGCTACTGGGCAGCCTAGAAATCGTTCCGGAGCTGTGTATTTACGAGGTCGGCCCAAGCAAACTCAACTCCCTGAAGCACTAAAAAATCCTACACGTTGGAACCCGTTGCCTAGTAGTAGAGTAGGTAGCCTTTGGTCTTTTTTGGGTAGTATGGCCCCTATAGAAACCTTATATAACCAAAAATGTTTACCCGACAAGTAGGGCTAAAACAAAGCATCTCCAAATGGGTTTGACGGCTCAATCGTAACATGCTCGTGAGTGGCAAGGTCAACGCCATCGTCGATGCGGTGAGCGACTCTTGTCGTTTGCTCATGTTCGCTGATTGTCTTTACGGTTCAGGATTACCAGGGGGATAATACCTCCGCTAACGCTGCATCGGGCAGAGCTGCTCATGAATTTCACAAACATTTGCGTGGCTTGGACCATCTTAATGCCAGATTCTCTGAACCACACAACCGTAAACCCCAAAGCCGTACAACTCTATACCTTGAAACCCCAAAAGGACCTCAACAACAAGCAGTAATTCTCATAAATGCAAGAACCCTAAACCCGAGAAGCCCTAAACCATATAAATGACGAACTCTACTGTAAGGGCTTACTATGGGTTACTATAAGGATCTACTCTAAGGACTACAGAGCATACATAGTATGGTAGAAGCCAGAAAGTTAGAACCTGATTGCCCTCATACCCTTGAGACAAAGTATAGGGGATTCCTGCATAAATCATCCTAATCCAGGCGTGAGGGACCGCGGGCTCGACACCAAAGGCAAAAGCCAAGGCCAGGTCGTCGACTGATGGCAGCAGTCGACGTGGCCCTGGGGCAAGGGCGGCTGCTGCAAAGGCCACTGGACGACGCCGGAACAACCGCGGACCGTCCCAAAGCGAAAGGGAGGCAGAGAGGCGCCGCCAGGATCATGACACACTCCGATGCCGCCCTTTGGGCGTCAGAGATCGCCAACGAGTGGTGCAGCGCAACACCGAGCTGCAGGAGAAGAATACTGCACCCCTACCCTTTTGTTCCAAAGCCCGGCCCAATCTCTCAAAGGGGAAAAGGAGGGACCCTTCATGGGGACCCCTACCCTAATGGGCTATAGAATGGGTATAGAATAGCTATACATAGACCTAGGGGTCCTTACTAAGGGTCCCTCCTTTTACCCCTGGAATCCCTGGAATCTCACCATCTGATTGGTTGTCAAAATTAGGGTCTCTTTTTGGGTTCCCTAAATATTAGGTGCCGTATTATATTACGGACCCAAAAAAGGTACCATAATTTTGACAACTACCCATCTCAAAACGGATCCAAGGAATCCGCCCACCGCTCGAGCAAGCGCTGCTACGCTCGCATGGTGGAGGCCATTTAGGACGTTTAAGGGTAAAGGATTTACCTATAGTCTCCGTTGGAGTTACTTAATTTTTGTTATGGTTAAGCAGTTTTATGGTCAGGGCCCTATTATAATAATTACAGGGTTTGGTTAACCAAAAGAAGGAACTATAGTGGAGACTATCGGCAGGGTTTGGGGTTTAAGGGCGTTACTATTTGATATCAACGTTTTGGTGACGAAGCGCTTTCGGCGAAACCCGAAGTTCGAAGCCAAAAGCCCTTTCTTCAGTGCACTTCGAAGTTCTTGAATATGCTGCGATTCATGTTAAGATAGGGGCCTAAATGGTTTCCCATACTATGTTGGGGCTTGCTTGTTGTAGACTTATGATTAGTATAATTGGCCGCTAAACCCTATTTAAATGATTAAGGCCCCTATCGATATGCTGCTCCGTACAGGGTCGTGAGTACAGCTTTTTCGGGAGCTTGGGTGAGTTTCTGAGGGTCTCGCTTCAAGAAAACTAATGAGTATGTGCGTTTTGTCCTGTTGGTTCCAGGAATGTAGGATACACATGCTTGCACTTCGGTCTTGTGATGGGTGGTGACGGATGCTCAGACTCTTTTTCAGGGATTCCGCGGTATCAGACACGCGTAGAGGAATCTCTATTAACACGCGGCCAGTCAGTGTCTCCGTCTCGGTTCACATCTCTGCGCATGTGTGAGTGTGTGTGAGTGTGTCGATGTGTGTTTTCTGCTCCTGTCTCCTGTTTACAGTCAGCTGCTAGCCCAACACGGCCTGCTATGTCCATGTAGTTGTAGTTGTGAGCTTGGTTGTCTGTCGTGCAGGTTTCTGATGGATGGGGCTGTGCCGTATTTAATTCATGGTCGTTTTTTTTGCCGTGTGCTGCACGCAGCTATTGTCAATGGTCGTCCACTCTGATTGCAGAGATGATCCACGGAACTGAAGCTCTGCGGCCCAAGCCAGCACAGACATCCCCCAAGCCTTAGACCCTAAAGCCTAAACCCTAAACCCCTAAACCCTAAAACCCCTAAACCCTAAAACCCAAGCCTATAGGGGCCTTAATAATTGCCTATACTGGCTACAGCGAGGATGCATGGCATGGTGGTTTGCATGGATGTCTTCAGGTCAGTAAAGATGTTACAATGGGTCGTTTTTTCAGTCTCGCTGCTCCTGACAGCAGTGCCCTTAAAGGGTTTAGTTTCACAATCCGCCATTTTGGTGGAAGGAGCCTTCGAAGCCATAGATTCGGAGCTCCAGGGCCACACGATGGCCCACAGATCACAAGAGTGGTCGTCCAAGAATCCTAGTTATGTTCGCGAGCTCCAGCAGTCAATGAGTGCCTGGCATTCGCAAAGAGAGGTGACGAGAGGAACAGTGTATTCTGCAGGACAAGATCTCTGGTTTGCGAATAGGAGGAAGCGCGCAGCACCAGCTACACCGCTTGGCTCAGCACTTTCCACACCCTTGATGGATGTGGATGCTGCTCCAGGGGGCCTCAGCTCGGCATCTGCAGCCTCCAACAACACGACCAGCGACTTGGACAACACGCCACTTCTCAACCCGATGCCGATTGAGGAAGAAGCTGCATACGCAACGACAGCTTCCCACCAAGGGATAGACATGAACGATGATGCTGCAGTACAAGCCTGGATGGATCAACCCATTCGAACCCGTCAAGAAGTTCTCAGCACAATCCGAGCATATCATGTTGGCGTAATACGGTCTGAAGTATACAACGTCGTGGCACAAGTTGAACAGGCCATGACTCGCATACACGATCAGGTCCTACGCCTCCAGGGCAATTTGGACTGGATGCAGAGCGAAAACCGTCAAAGTCAGAAGATCGCATCCGGACTGCAGTGCCTGTTGACCGGATTCCCGTCGACCATGGACGGGGAGCAACGCCTGTTCATGATCAACTGGATGATAGGTCAAATGAGTGAGGCGAGAGCTTTCCTGAAGCATCGCGGTTGGACCGAGTCAGACCAGAACGAATCGCCTTACTGGTGGCTCAACTGCCTTCAGCAAGAACCGTCCACTCCGCCAACCTCTGAGGGTGCCTTCTCAAGTGTTTCAATTTTACTGTTTAAAATCTGGGAATTGCGTAAAGCATTCCTAGCAGAGTACGGCGGCACAAGCGGCACGCCATTGTGGAAAGACAGTCGCAGCCCAGTGCCTAATCGGCACGTGCGGGCATCGCCCGCATCACCGCAATACCAACGCAAGTTAGAGTTGCCCCTACGCGTCTTACTTGAAGTCATTAATCATGCCGACAGTCTTCCCAGCAATCAAGTCGTCATTCTGTGGCGCACTTTGACCATTATGAGTCCGCAAACCGAGCGCACGTTTGACGAAGCCGCAACGGCATGCGCGCGTTTGCATTATTATGAAGAGGGTCATGTTTTCCAGGGCCTGTTGGAGGTAGATGAAAGCCTACACGCGGCCATGACTTCGACCCCACCTGCAGCTTGGAATGTCGAAGAGCCAACGCTGTGGGCTTGGGCATGGAATCATGTAGCATTTGGAGTCCAACACGAAATGGACCTGGCAGAGAAAGCTCTGTTTCGTGAAAAGGCCAAGTCCGCCAAGGGGGATGGCAGAGGCCTTTCCCTTGGCAAGGGTGCCCGTCACTACGCCGCACCACTAGTGTACAATTCTGACATGGACCCATTCCCAATTCCATTGAGTATCCGGAAGGTCCCAGACTCAAGCATTGCGTACGTTTGGGATGAGTATTGTGACAAGCTAAAAGAGGGGGATCAGAAATGCGGCGACTACAAAAGGGCCACGTACAGGGGCCGTCCAGGTGGTGCGATTAGGCGGCCACGCCACACAGGGAAGCAATCCCCCGACGGCAGCCTTCGGCTTTCGCAAAGTCCGCCCCCCCGCGAACCTCGTGACGGTGTTGCTGTTGTCGCATAGACCTTCCCGTTAATCACCGGAATGCCGCTGCGGTGGGAGCGCTGTCCTTTGGCGAAGCTCTTAGGACCACTCCGCTGTCGCAACCCGGTCTTTGCATGTTTCAAGTCTCATCGGCCGTACCGTTTCAAAATTTTAATCAGCTGTGCCCAGGCAGTTTAAGGCTTTGTCAAGGCCTGGAGACAAGCTGCGGGGGTGGGACAGGCAAAGGTTCTCAGTACTATGCTTCAGGATTTTTGGACAGACTGCGCACAGTCCGTTTTAGGGTTCGGTGCTACGGGTTTTTGCAGGCACATCTGAGTGCACCGGAGCCACAATGCTGCAATTTTGTCTGCTCTTTTGGCCAGCAATTGCGAGTCACCACTGACGCTAAAAGCATTCAGTGGGACATGTCTAAACCTAGGCGTAAGAGTTACAGACGTAAACCGAGGAAGCATAAACTACGCCGCCCCGACCTTTCTAGACCTTTGTGCTATTTAGCCATTGCACTGGCTTGTCTCTACTACTACACAACTCCGACTAGAGGAAGCCCTGCGGTAGTATTGCTAGATGCTCTGGTCGTCCGGTACAGCCTCTACTCAGTCTGCTTAGGCATGAATCGTGCTTTTCAGGTAATCCTTCAACAAAACCGTAACAGAGCAGTGCATTCTATCACTGGTAACCCACACATTCTAGCGCTAGATACCGCCAATGGAAGCGGTCCTCAAGGGAATCTATATGTTTAAGGTCCTTGGGTAAGACTTTAATCAGGGAGGATAAACCCCAGAACGCAGCCAAGCAGAAGCAGCGAACAAAGCTTTCAACTGCAAGGATATTCCGCGAAAGAATCCTACAACAACATCACCCGCACCCACGAAAGACACCCGTCCCCAAATTAGCTACCCCTCAATTATCGTATGGAAAACTGGTCAAAGTAGCTACCCAAAACGTGCAGCCCCTTGCCGAGATACTTAAACATCAAAGTCTGTTGGACATTATGACCACACGCAAGTTGGACATCCTCTTCATCACCGAAACTCGAACTACATCATATCATTCTTATATCTCCAAAGGTTTCTGGTTTATACGCAACGGCAATACTCGAGACCGATACGGAGGAGTAGGGGCTATAGTAGCTCCTAGCTTCAGGCCATTTGTGAAAGATGTTATTCAGCACAGCAGCAGACACCTTGAAATCGTTGTCGCTATGAAGTCCGCGCCCGCGCATTTTCATGGAGTTTATGCCCCACATGACAAAACGGATGAAGAATTGCAGAAAACACCATTTTGGACTCAACTGGAAGAGATCTGCTCGGCGACTCCTGTCCCGGAGCCTTGTTATGTTATCGGCGACTTTAATGTAAGGTTGCAAGGCCGCACATCGAAGGAAGTGGATTACATAGGACCTCACATCCTAGGCCGAGGCCCACAATATATCAATCCTAGACCAGGCTCCAACCGTCAATTGTATTTGCAGTTACTCCGCACTATCGACGGGGTTGATGTGATGTCCTTTAAACAACCAGACCTCAAAAAACAGATCACTTACAAGGACAAGCACCCACCACCGCTGTGCTGGTCACAATTCGTTCAGGACCCATTTGAGTGGTTACAGCTTTGGGATAAAATATACGGCATTACAAACACAGGTGCGCAGGAAAAACAGTGTTCTATTGATATAGCTGCCAACATCCGGCAGTACTTAACTACAACTCCCCTACTCGACCCTCCTGATGCCCCCCTTGGAATAGACCCACGCCGGTTTCAAGCTCTGGACAAGCTTATAACCCGATCCAAATGGCTGCCCACCGTCCACAAAATATTTGCAGTCCACTCCGCAGGTTTCCCTAGTGATCATTATCTTCTCGAAGCCCACATCCGAATCAAACTTGCTGCCCGCCCCCCGAAACAACCGCCGCGCTTCAGACCAGACTACTCCGCCATTACGCAGAACACCAAACTCGCACTGCAAGAAACAATCAGGGCCGAACTAGGTTACGCACCACTACCAAGTGTGCAAGTTCTGGACGGTGATTGTTGGGAAGTTTACACAGATGGCTCAGGCACATCCGGAAAGTCAACAAAAACCACTCCAGCGGGATGGGGTTTTGTAGTTACCAAGAATGAACAACACGACCACTCCGCGTCCGGACCAGTCGAAACCGATGACAGGTCTGTTTATTACTTAGGAGCACAAGTCGGCAGCAACAATTCGGCCGAGCTCACCGCAATTCTCGAAGCAATACTTTATCTTTTGAGCCTTCCCACTTTGCCCTCCCAGCTTGTTTTCAACCACGATAGTAAATGGGCGGCCAACGCCGTCCGTGGCACCGCACGACCCAAACGCCACACGCACTTAATCGGCCACGCACGCTCACTGCATCATGAACTTCAAAAGCGATGTAGAGTCCAATGGCAGTGGATCAAAGGCCACTCCGGCAACAAGTTTAATGACATGGCGGACCAGCTAGCGGCTTATGGCAAAACTTCTAGAAATCATGAAGGAGGTCGGTCAAGTCTCGCTCACCTGGCTACTCCGCAAACATTTCACCAACCTGAGTTTCACCATGACAATGCTTTGGAAGAACAAAACCACACACTGACTTCCGCTTTTCTTAAGGCTGAAAAAGCACACCTCCACACAGCAAAGCACGTACCCACGAAACCGTGGATCACAGATGAACTAGCAGCTCAAATAGCGCAGGTCAAAGTGCTTCGTGTTAATCAGGACCCCCATTATCACACGGAGTACAAAATGTTAAAGAAGCAGGCACGCAAACTTAAACGGCATTGGATGAGAGATCAATTTTTAGCAGACAACTGTCCATCCAGAACATCCATTTGGCAAAAAATACGACGGCTGAAAGGTGGTTTTCGTGAAAAACGCCAGCGTCTGAAAATCAATGGAATTCCCGTTCCATGGTCTAGAACACATGAGGCATTTCAACAACATCTCGCGCAGTCACAATGGGCACCCTCCCAACTCTCTCCAGAAGAAGTCGATCTTTTAAGGAATAGTCCCCAAATCTACCCCCCAGATCACTCCGCCATAGAGCCAATATCAATGGACGAGCTTCAGCAGGCCATTCGAGTACTCCGCCGAAACCGTGCACCAGGTACAGATGGAATTACACAAGATTTATTGAAAATGCTTGATTACTCCGCCGAAAAGCAGCTCTTATCTCTCTTAAACCAATGTCTCAGAGAGCGTAAAATACCTAAGGATTGGAAACAGGCGCGCATAGTGAGTATATTTAAAAACAAAGGATCCCCGTCCCTTCCCGAAAATTACAGACCAATCTCGTTACTAAACTCCTTTTATAAGGTTTATGCGTCTATACTTCAAAAACGCATCGCCCTTAGGCATGACCACAACATTCGTAGTACACAATACGGGTTTCGAGCTCATCGTAGTACAACGGATCCCATATTCTTATTGCGTAGAGCGCAGGACTACTCCGCCAAGACGGGCCACCCCATACACATGTTGTTCTTGGATTGGAAGATGGCATTTGATAAAGTAGACCACTCCGCCTCCGCGATGCACATTGCACTACAAAGGTTTGGCGTGCACCCACACTATTTAGAAATCATACAAGATATTTATACCAATCCGGTTTTTTGTGTCACTTCACCTCAAGGCGACATTGTATGGGACACTGCCAATACAGGAATACGACAGGGGTGCCCACTTAGTCCGTACCTATTCGTTATTCTCATGTCGGTTCTGTTTACGGACGTAGACTCCAAACTCCGAATAATGGGGTACTCCTACTAATACATGGTCAGTTGGCAAGCCCATTTACGACGTAGAGTACGCTGACGATACTCTTTTACTTGCGGTTACTCCGCCACAGTTCGCAGAATTATTACAAGCCGTTCAAGTAGAAGCCACACTATACAATCTTACGCTAAATTTTGATAAAACCGAGGTTCTGCAACACCCGAACACTCCGCCCATAGCTATACATTTTGCCGATGGCACACCTGTTAATACAGTTGACACAGTCAAGTACCTTGGCACCACAGTCAGTTGGACCCACACTACTAAGCAAGCTATTGAAGCACGAATGCAAAAAGCTCATTCTGCCTATATGAAGCTACAACACTTGTGGAGAAGCAGAATTTGTCTGAAGTCCAAAATCCGCCTATATCACTCATTTGTTTTGCCAGTTCTTCTTTACTCCCTTCAGGAACTAACTTTGGAGGACAAGCACCTCCGCACAATTGACGGTTGGTATTTTCGGTATCTACGCAGGTGCATGGGTATTAAAGCGTCGTACTATTCTAGAATACCCAACCAACGAGTCTGGATTAATGCTGGACGCCCTACTTTACCCACACAAACCCTTCTCTCCCAGCAACAATCTCGATTAATCAAAAGCACGCTGGCTACTCCGCAAGATCCTTTACACCATGTCATTTTCAGCCCAGGTTACAAAGACAGAATCAAATTCTCGAAGTCCAAGAACAGAGGCCACCCACGACAGTATTGGTTCGATATAGTCTCCAAGCAGGCGATTAAATTGACTGAAAGTTTTGACCACTCCGCTCGGACTCAGGATTTTCTTGGTGTAAAACACCTCATACATAAACACGAAAGCTTTCGCTCGCATCTGCTGGCTGCGCCGACGCGCAACGCTGAATCGTTTAAATTTCTTAGCAGAAGTGTGGGTGGCGCATGGCGGACTTAAAAAAACCCCTAAACCCTAAAACCCCTAAACCCTAAAACCCAAGCCTATAGGGGCCTTAATAATTGCCTATACTAGTTTGGGGTTCCTGATTATAATTATAGTTCAATGGGCCCCAAAACCCTATTCTAATTATTAAGGCCCCTATATTAAACCCTTTGACCCCAACTCTTCAACATAAACCGCTAAACGGCAGATCCCAGCGGAGCTTGCGAACTCGGACTACCCAAAGAAAAGGAGGCAAGGCTTGGCTTCTGTATGGCCAGGGCTTGTAAGGATGTAACTAACTGCTAAGCGAATTCCTAGGGATTTCTTTTTGGATTTTACTGGAATGTGCCCCCCCAACCTTGTTCTAAGTTTTAATTCCTACGGACCATGAGGGGGGGTGAGGGCTTTGGGAGTTCGCTTCTGTAGTATGCTGTTGCGGAGAGTTTGAGATCAAGCTTTCGTGTCCATGGCTGAGCTTCTGCTTCCAAAGGCCTCATAGGTTTTTAGGGTTCAGGGTAGTGCTGCAGTGGTATCCTTGAATGAGCTATCGTGCTAAGCCCAAACCCAACCCTCAAATCTCGAGCCCTAAACCTTCATCCTACACCCCAAGCCGGACTTGCGGGAACGGTGACGGTGGGCTTGGCCATCGCTGAAGCGAGGCTAGCCTCATGGTCTATACAGACATTGGGAATATTGAAATCTCTCAACCCTAAACCCTCAACCCTGAACACCCTTCACCGAGGTGGGTGGTTGTCAATATTAGGGTGCCGTTTTGGGTCCTTATTATAGTACGGCACCTATCATTTAGGGTACCCAAAATTTTGGGTCTCTAGGTACAGGTTCGGAGAAGCCCTGTCGTCGAAGATCTTTCAGCCCCTGAGACGCTGCTAAATCCTAAGCCCCAGGATCTCCTCCAGCCCGAAACTTCTGAAGCCCTAAGCGGTTGCCGAAAACTGTAACCCTGAACTCGTAAACCCTAAGCCCTGTAGATCCCTTATAGAGCCCTTATGGATCCCTTTAAAGGAACCCCTGTTCTGAACCCTAGACACCAAACCTTAACCCTAAACCCCGAAACCCGAGCTCTGTTTCAGTAGTGCGCCGAGTCAGTTAAGCAGGCGAGAGAGAGGCCACAACAACCTGAAACAAAACCTTCAATCGTGCGTGTATAACATTATGTATATGTGACTTTGTATAATATTCTATAATATAATATTATGTCATAATATTTTGTTGTATTATTTATATTTAACATTTTTTACTTAAGGTATTTTATATAATATATCACATATATCATATATATATATATGTATATATATATATATATGTTTATCATAAAATCTATATCATATGAATTATTACTGTTATTATCAGATATATATATATATATATATATATAACTGTTATATTAAATATGTATAGTCATATACAAAACATATGATACAAAACATATAATAATACAAATTGTATATAACATAACAAGATATAGTATAATATAACATAACAATAATATATATATATATATATATCCAGAAGCCATAAACCCGGAAGTCCAACAACCATCAGCCCTTAATTTTTTCAACTCTTCCAATTGAGTCCCATGCTTCCAGGACCGTCTTGACGGGGTGTAGGGCTTTCAAGGTTCGTATGGTTCTTTTAATACGGCGGTTTAGGGTTTAGGGTTTAGGTGTTAGCAGAATATTATAAAAACTTTGGTGGGGATGTGTACGGTTTGTATTGGGGTTCGAACGCCTAGTATGATTTTGTTCCTGAAGCCTCCCTATCACGTGTGCAGTCGCGAAACCCCCCCAAAGCCGAGTCTCATGATTTAGGCGTCTCCCTTAGGCCCCAAATTTCTTACAATACCTATAGGGTTTACAGTTTAGGGCTTTTTTGGGGGTACCCCACTCTTTTAGCGCCGCAAGATAATACCGACATCCTCAAAGCATGAAGCCTTGAAGGGCGACGGCCTCCGGCCACGGCTATTTCAACGTGTCCTTGCTTAAGGACCCCCACCGCCGCCGCGAAGCCTGATCCGGGCTGTAACGTAGGGGCTCTGTTTGTTGAGGGTTTAGGGTTGCATTTTAAGGGCTTAGTTTCCAGTCTAGAGGCTTGTTTAACGGTTCAGGGTCCTAAGATGCAGGGCGCCTAGAAATTTACAGCCGTGATTTTTGCTCCCGCTACGAAACAAGGGAGGGTTTATCCGAGGGTCTTAGTGAGTGTGCACAGGGCTGTTGGGGAGTATTGGCGAATGTATGTGTTTGTATCTACAAGGAATTCGCCCACCTTGTCAAGAAAAAATGAACCGTACACCTGAATCCCGGAATCCCAGAACAGCGCCGCTACATGGTAGTGTTGAAGGTCGGATTGCTGCTTTGAGGTGCAAGATCTCATTACGGCTACATCCTAACCCGAACCTCCAACAGGAGTAACAGGACCAGGAGTCATCGTGAGTCTCATGCATTGGTTCATAGTACCCGAAGTCCCTTTCCTTAGTTCCAGTGGCTTCACACATTAAGTAAGTTTGTGTGGCTAATTACTTTATCCCTGTAAAGCTCTGGGAAACTGCACAAGAACGGCTTCTCTTATACTTTACAATACTTTACAACTGTTCTTCACAGGATGGTCCTTGGCAAAAAAGCCACTGCTAAGCCCTGAATCCTTTAAACTTCTTGAAAGCCCAAATGCCCAAACCCTTAAACCGTCTTCCGCCAAGAGCTGAAGGCCTGCATCCCTGAGAATGCAGGTCCTAAAAGTATGAAGAGGCAAAAACTCCGAACGTGCTGGCCATAAGGGAAGTTAAAGACGACCACAAGATTTGAATGCAGCAATTACCGGAGTCCTGATGCGAACCCCTACAGGACCGGAGTGAAGAGTTCATTTGGGAAGAGCTCCGCAACCAGCTGTCCCGCTCCGCGAAGCGACGCTGGGTGGCAATAAGATTCGTTTCCCAAAGGGTCCAAGTACCATTACAGTATGTACTTAGTAGGTAGATGGCCCCCAAAGTATATACTATACTATTACTTGGACCCTTTGGGTTTGCAGATGTTTGGAATCATATTGATGAAAGGGATCTGGTCGTGTCTACGCAAGACTCAATGCCTCTAAGTTCGTCGGAGAGCTTCAGACCTAAACCCTGTAAGAACTGTCATAGTGCCCCGCAAGTGCTACAGGCGCTACAAGACCTACAAACCTTTAAAAATAATAAAAACCAAAACGAGAAACCTGCTAAGCCGTACAATGCCGAGAAACGCCACCCGAACCCAACACCCAAAGCCTAGAGTCTAGAGTCCTCGAGGCCAGCGGAAGAGCTGGGACACGACAGAAGAGTCCGACAGCTCAGCAGCCAAGCTGCTTTAGAGATTTTACGGTCGTTCCAGATTCAGGGGGTCATCATCAAGGTTCAGAGTTGAGGCCTCGTGATTTAGGAGTTCAATTCAGGCTTGCGGCTTGGGGCTCATCCTTTTAGCTCTCGGGGTATTTTCTCGTTCCTGTCGCACTGGACATACCCGATTTCGGTGTGGAGTTGATCATCACTGTTGTCCCACTCTTTGGCAGGAGAGGAGGTCTTGGTCTGTCACCCAGGGCCCACTTCTTGTTTCTGGACTGACCATTCTGCCTATTGTCGTTACGATGCGCTGTATGTGCCTTGACCTGTTGTGTTGCTTGTGGTCCCTAAACCGTCAAGCAATCAAGATAAACATGATCACGAGCGGGTAGGAGGCATGTGATATTACTGAGGAGCAGAACAGATCAACACTCGTTACCGAGGCAAACTGGAAGCGCGAGCAGAACGACAATGATGCTTACGACCCACCCTCCAAGCGCTGGCGCTGGCGCTGAACAAAAAAGCGCAACATGGGTTTTATCAGGGTTTGGCTAGTCTCTGCTATTCGGGTTCCGTGGCTCGTCTCTGCTATTTGGGTTTCGTTTGATTTTATCGGAATTGGGCGTCAGAGGCCTGAAAAATCGTACTTATACGTCCTTTCAGTCCTTATAACTAGGAAGTCACCGCCCCTAAACCCTAAACCCTAAAAGTTTAGGAAACCCTAAACCCTAAACCCTAAACAGACCCCGAAGCACTCTTCAAATTGCTACGGTCCCAAACCCTGAACTCTGATCCCCCAAACCCTGTTCGAATTTGTTCAATAGTGTTACCATGAAATACGAAAGGAACCCAAAACCTTAAAGTAACCTTAAGGGATCCCTTACAGGAGTCCTGAACCCCATAGCCAGAGTACGTTTGTTTGAACCTTTCAAGGAACCCTTAAAGGAAGCCTGCACCCAAAAGTATTATATTTGCATCCTTCAAACAACCCTTAAAGGAACCCTGAACCCTAGAGTACCCTTACAGTAACCGGTAAGGTCCCCTTACTGTTGCAAAGCTCTGAACCAGAGCTTCGGTGCTCCTTAGCAAAGACACGGTTGCCAGTTTACCCGTATCCCAAAAACCTACAAAACAGTAGGGTAGGAGTTCTCACATAATATAGGACCACACCTCTGGAACAGTAGGAAATAGGGCTTCCGGTATCCGCCGCCTAGCCGGGGCCGTTCAGGTTTTCGCTGTAATCGCTTTTAGGGTTTAGGGTTTCGGTTTCAACTCTTCGAGGTTAACATAGGGGACTTATTGATTAGAATTGGGTTTGGGGGTTCCGTGTGATAACTAATGATAGACCAATTTACCCCCAAGCCCTATTCCAAGTATTAAGGCGCCTACATTATGCACTTTCGGTTTGCTGGGAGTGCTTGGAATTAGATGGCCGTTGACGGGTGTTAGACGAAGTGTGAGAAAGCTCTGGGTGTTTGAAAGGGAAGGCTGGTCAACACTCATTCACAAGCTGGGGGTCAGGGTTCTGAGTTTTAAGTGCAGGGCCTGGAGCAGGCTGCAAGGTTGGGGGGTCATGGTTCCATGCATAAGGTACTGCAAGGTTCTGATGATTTAGGGTTTGCCAAGGTTCTTCTGATTCAATGATTTACTTAGAGTTCACACAGATTTCGAAAGGGGTATGGAGGAAGATCATCGCCTCGGGAACAGTCAAGGTTCAGCCTGTCCGTCAGGGCAACGGGATGGGATTTCCCTGCAATGCAGTAGAGGGCCTCAATAATTACCACTACTCTTTGGGGGGGGGGGGGCTCCTGATTACAATTATAGTATAATGGGCCCCGGCTCCTGATTACAATTATAGTATAATGGGCCCCCTAAACCCTAAACCCTAAACTATTCTAGATATTAAGGCCCTTAGAGAACCTGCATGGCCTGATCATCGGAGACTGAAGCGCAGCATGGACGAACCACGCCCTGCTTTACTTGCATAGGCCGCGAGATAAGCCTACAAGCAACAATCCTAAATTCCTCAGCTCAAAGCATATCCTAAACCCTAAGCCCCATAAGTCCTAAGTCCCTAAAACCCTGAAACGAAAAGCCCCAAACCCTAAACTCCCTAAACCTAAACAGCATGCAACCCCCATGAACCCCTAAACCCTAAACCCTAAAAATCCTAAACTCCCTAAACCCTGAACCCTAAAGCGACATGCACCGTTTCAGCATGAGGTCTGCCTCCACAGAAGAGCAAGTGGCAGAAGGTCAGCCCCGGGGGGGGGGGGTTAGGGGTTCAGTGGGGTTCCTTAAGGGCATCTATCGGGTTCGTTTAAAGGGATCCATAAGGGATCTATAGGTTGTAGGGGTTTAGGGGTTTCAGGGTTCAGGGTTTCAGGGTTTAGGGTTCAGCCCCGGCGGTCCGTGAAGTATTACAATGAAGTTGTATGTATGGCTTAGCCCAAACTCCAAACCCCAAGCTCGAAGCCCTAACCCCTACACTCCAACAGACACCGGGAAAACTGTCAACTTCCCTACCGTTGCAAGGCGCTCGGCATCCCGAAATGCCGCAAAGTGACGCCGAGCCCACTTCCCAGATCTCGCAAGCTTAGGACATAGGGCTTAGGGGCAACTTATACCAGGACCCAAAAGTATGTAGAAAAGTTGCCTTTTCACGGGTGTTGGGCCATTTTCGGCCTAATTACAGTAAAAAGGGTCTGGGGGTCCAAAGCTATTTCCACAAGTAATAGGGGTGTTTCATCGGGGATCTAAGACTTTCATTGTCCCGAAAGGGTTCCACAACTTGGTTGCGGGTTTAGGGTTTAGGATTTTGGAGAGGGGATTTGAATCCGAAGGGCCCAGCGATTGGATATCTGGGTCTACGTCGGTTCGTCATTATTTGGGCTGTACTCGGGGGAGCGTATGAGGACTGGGGATTGAAGCCCTAAACCCTTTAACTCTAGAAGCCCTAAGCTCTATACCCTAGAAGCCCTAAACCCTAAACCCTCGAAGCCCTAGTGGGAGTTTTCGAAAATAAGGGACCCGAATATGGTACCCTAAATAGTAGGATCCTTATTATAAGGACCCCCAAATAAGGTACCCCTATTTTCGGAAACCCCCTAGTGTCAACTCCTCAGTTCAAGAAAACCGCTGACCCCAAATCTGCGAAAGCAATAGTAGGAATCGCACTCCTCATCGGCATATGTGTGTGAGCTTTCTCTTCTAGAACCCATGCCTCGTTGTTCAGCAGACTCTTACATAGACGCTGGCCGGATTTGAAACCTGCTTCGCTTGGTGTTTCGTCCAGGGGTCCTCGCGTTGTCTCTTTTGTTGTTTTTTTTTTTTTTCTGTGGTTGCACGGTTCGGGGTTTAGGGCTTTTAGGGGTCCAGGGTTCACGGTTGAGCCCGACCCTGCAACGGTTGATCCGCCGACAAAGCCGAGATGTTTTTCTTAAAGGCGACGAAACCGCACCTTGATGATCGCGGTTAAGGGGTTGAGCTGGACCGCATGGTGGCCCTCTTTCACAGGAAGGTGCCCTGGTGCAGAGTGCGGTGCCTTGTCGACTTTATCTCCGTTTGGATGATGATGCCGGCCGTGGGATTTGACATGGCAGGCACTGGCCGAATTGGCCATCACGGCCTTTCGGGATAAGCATAATGACGTAGCCACACGCCATGCATGCGACTGGCCTCCATGGGAACATGCGATTGGAACTGATGAACTGTATGTGCGTACCCACATGTATACACACATGTGTTCACATATGTGTGTGTATGTAAGTATGTATGTATGTAGGTATGTAGGTATGTAGGCATGCATGTGCGCATGTATGCATGTATGCATGTATGATATGTATGTGTTATATATATATATATATATATTATTGTATGTACGTATGTATGGATGTATGTATGTATGTATGTATGTATGTCGGTATACCGGACGTCAAAATCCACAGCGCTATACTCCATTACGAACATAACCCCTAGCAGCCTCTAGCCCTACACCCCTAAAGCTCTCAAGAATAGACTCCCACAAACCCTAACCGTTTTCCCCTCTCAACATAAAAGTTCGTTGTTCAGGGATCTACGGTTGAGAGATTCAGGGATTCAGGGGCCTAGGGATCCAGGGGTCTAGGGTTTAGGAGACTAAATTGGTACGGGGACGCGGTTGGTTGGATCAGGGGCCTAATTGAAGGGGGTTCCTTATTATATTTATAGTATACTGTTTAGATTTTTAGGTTGAGGTTGAGGAGCTTAGGCTGCATGCGTGAGGGTTAACGTAAGGATCCGCAGCAAACGACCAAAGGTAGGGTTCCCTATTGTGATTTCCTTGTCTAAGTCCTTAATCGGGTAGGTTATTCAGGGTTTAGGTAAACCCTAAGCCGTGCAGCGAGGCTTGCAACGGTGGGGAAGCTGCTGCTGAAGCATGGCGTGTCAGTCCAGAAGGTGGGAGGGTTTAGGGTTTTGGGGTGTAGGGCTCAGGGTCCTGAGGCTTTTGGTGTTGCAAAACCTACGTGTTTGAATTCGTGTTTCAGCCATAGTCATGTAATCTAGGCAGTAGATAGAGTGTAGATGTGTTCAATCAGGAGTGGATACTCGCAGTCCTTCGACAGCAAAGCTAGGCTCTACGATTGTTGTGTTTCGGTCAACCCCTAAGAAACACTTGGGACTAACCCCAACTAGGGTCCCGTTTAGGGTACTTATAAGTCTACTTACTACCTACTTACTAAGTCCCTGAACCCCTAAACCCTAAACCCTATACTACCCCTATAGAGCCCTTGAAAGGAACCCTTAGAATCCCCTTTAAAGGAGCCCCTACTAGGTCCCCTAAAGACCCTCCAAGCACTCACAGGCAGGGCTGATTGCTGCGCAGCTTACAGGTCAGCCTGTGGCCCCCTGGCTGATGAATTGTTGGCAATCTTGGCCTGGGGTTCCCAGAGCCTCCAAAACCCCTTAGTTAAGGAATATACCTTGAATTATAATAGGATCCCTAATATGATTTAAGGTATATTCCTCAATTAAGGGGTCTTGGCAATCTTGGCCCGGGGTTTGGGGTCTGGGGTATCGTAGATTCTAAACCCGAAGCTATAAATCCCTAGACTATATCCCGAGCACGCAAAGGCCTCAAAGCCTTGTCTTCAGGTAGTTATGGTATTGAACCAATATATAATTACCAATACTATTTTGTGGGCTCCTTAGGATAATTATTGTATAATGGGCCCCTACTCTAACTAATTAAGGCCCCTACAGAACGGGCGTGTTGGTTTTCTGTTGGGGGTGCCAGCCTCGTGTGTGGGTCTGAGGCTCAGCTGTCGGGGAAATGGATCCCTTTGATAGCCCCATACGGGTGATGATATAAATCCTGCATGACCCATTATAAGGAATATACCATAATTCCCATAGATTTATATCATCAACCGTACGGTCCCTTTTTGTAGTCTCAATAACCCATTCCCCCATTCCCTACAAAGAACCTGACAGTCAGGGGTCGGGGTGTTCGGCTCCGCGGTTGCGTACTGCAGCGTTTCGTCTAAACCTTAAGCTGAAAGCCCTACTTGGCGGGTCGGGGGGACTTAGTAACTGGTTATTTTAGGGACTTATAAGTACCACAACCCCAATTAGGGTCCCTTTTAGGGTACTTATAAGTCTACTTACTACCTACTTACTAAGTCCCCCGACCCTCCAAGTAAACCCTAGGCCATGAAGCCGAAACCCATTAAGGGTTGAACCATAACGCCTACACACTTATATACTACCCCAAACGTTAAGACCCTGACTAAGGAGCTGGGTGTCAGCCTTCGAGGTTTTTAATTGTTTATAAGAGGGTTTGTAAGCCTTGTAAGCTTCAAGATTTGAATCATATTTCTGGCTTTAGGGCTATGTCATAAAGGTTAGAAGTGTAGATCCTTTTCGAGTGGCTTGGGGTTGTCGTGGTGTGAATTGGCACCCGGCTTTAAAAAGTTTGGGATTTCGGGTTTGGGGTTGCTGAATTTGGGGGTTTAAGCTTTTATGCTTGTGTGTTTACTTGGAGGTTCATGGTAGTTACAAGCCCACTTATAACTACCCCTGAACCTCTCAGTAGAGTTGAGGGTTTGAGTTGAAATTTTCGGGCTGAGGGGCTACATCTCCAGACCCAGCTGTTTTCACAGACGGCCCAGTATGAACTCCTTTATGGTTCCAGGTATATTCCCTGAAGCATGAGATGAAGACCCTAAGATGAAGCCCCTCATAATGAAAGATAGGTTCCCGAACCCTTAAGGTTTATTTTTAACCCAGGCGTCATCCTTATTTAAGGCACATTCCTTCATTAAGTTATACTTCCTTATTTCTTGGCGTTCTTCTGGTTGGCGCTTAGGACTTTAATTGTTTGGATTTCTATATGAACCATAATAAGAAGGCTAGAAGTTCAGCTTTTAGGAGGGGTTCAGAAGTCAGCCAAGACTTGAGATAGGTTCTTTCAGGGGTGTTGGGCTCTCTGTTCTGTCCGAGGAGCGCGCCCACGAGGTTCTGAAGCCTTTGGCCCTAAGAGGCTGGATGTCTTCACGAGGAGTGGAGGGTGTAGGGCTTCTCAGGGTTTAAGATGCAGTGCTCTCTTGTGGAGTTTAGGGTTTAGGGCTTGCTTTTAGGGTTTAGGGCTTTCAGGGCTTAGGGTTTAGGGCTGGGCTTTCTGTTGTAGTTTAGCTTTTAGGTCTCGCCTCAGCTTAAGTGTTCATCGGGTTTAGCTCGTGACATGTAGGTTCTAGGCAGTTCGTATCGTAAACCCCGAACCCTTGCAACAGGCCTGCTTTTGAGTTGTCGGCCGTGTGAACGTTCACCAGGTGCCTTCGGGTAAGGACAGTTCCGTGCAGCTGAACTTTGACCGTTGCTAAACCCTAAACCTCAAAGGAGAAAAGGAGGGACCCTTAATGGGGACCCCTACCCTATAATGGGCTATGTACTGGGTATATAGTAGCTATATTAAGGGTGTATACCTAGGGGTCCTTAGAAAGGGTCCCTCCTTTTCCCGTTTGAAATAAACCGGAAGATCCCGAAACCCCAAACCCTAATTTCGATGATATAAATCCTGCATTACCTGAATGGCTCTAGACTATGGGAATTATTGTATGTTCCCGATTATGGGTAATGCAGGATTTATATCATCAACCGTAACTCCCAAAAGGTGTTCGTGGATCCTTCGGTGTCATGATTTAGACTTCCCTGCGATGGCGACTGGTCATGTTGTTCCACTTAAAGTAAACGCCAGAAATTTGGAATATGATTATCCTAAACCCTTTATTGTAAATTATAAGGTATCCTACCCTGAAACCATATTCCAACTTTCTGGAGTTCCCTTTAGTAGCTGAGTAGGTAACCTTTAATCCTACCATCATTGAAAAGGTTAACCTTGGGCTAGGATACAGCCCCTAAGTTCGTTTTTCCAAAACTGTTTACACCCGAAGGAGCCAACACCCACATAGGAGGCTTTTCGGTGCCATGAAGCCATTCAGAGTTCAGAGTACGGTATTTGTGATGGCAAGCCACATTGTTTGGGATTCTAGAACCCGCTAGGTCCCCTAAAACACGCGAAACCACTGGAAACATGTTAAACCCTTCCTCATAGTAAACTCTGGGTTCTAGGTAAGCAAGCAGAAGCTGAGCAAGGCGGCCACTCCCCCAACCGCGCGGATGCATCTCCTCACTCAGACCAGGCTACAAGTGTTTTGGCAGTTTGCGATTTAGGGGTGGGGCCTTACTTGGAGGTTCATGGGTGGTTATAAGTGGGTTATAAGTAGGGTAACTATACTTATAACCTATATTGGGGACTTAATTATAAGCACATGTATAACTACCCTTGAACCTCCAAGCAATGAGGGTTTCAAGGTCCCCGAGATTCGAATCCCGTACACTCGCTTTTTACCGCCCCTTCCCGAATATTACATAGACTGTCGGAGGGAGACCTAGCTCACAGTGCTTCTCCCAGAGGACGAGCCTTCAGCCCTCCGTTGGAAGCGTAAGTCATTAAGTTTCTGGCATTTTCTATTTTCCATACTCCTCCTCCTCCTCCTCTCCTCTCCTCCTACCTCCTTCTGCCCCCCGTCCAGCCGATCATCATCATCATCATCAGCAGCAGCATCATCTGCATCGTCATCATTATCATCGGCACCATCATCGTCATCGTCATCATCACCAAAAAGCATCCTCATTCTCATCATCATCATCGTCATACGGGGCATCCTCACGCGCGATCTGCGCCCAACATCACCATCACCATCGTCAACAGCAGCATCAGGCCCCACTATGATGACCATCGTCAACAAAAACCAGCAGCGGCATGACCACCATTGTCAATGAAATATCCATCACAACAGCCGTCGTTACCATCACCATAATCAGCATTATCATCACCACCACGCTAACATCAGAATTTTCACCACCATGACCAGCATGATCGTCGCCCAACAGCACCGTCTTCGTTACCCTCTCCATCATCACCATCATCATCATCACCATCAGATTCAGCATCATGCTCATCATTGCCATCTCATCAGTACCATCCGATTCATTACTTTCGTTTTCCTTTTCAGCATCGTGACCACCATAATCATGTTCTGCTGCATTTGCTTGGAGGCCGATGGGGCAGCCAAGCTGAGCCGCCCTTAGTACAAGCTTCGAACTTTTCCAGGATGCTGCTAGCGGCAATAAGCCACCTCAAACCGGAATCTCCTGGCTTAGTAGCTGAATAAGCACACTTTAACTACATTGATAAGACTATACTATTATATCCCGTATAGAACTGAAAGTTTACACTTTTCTTGGGCTTATGAACTCAGTAACTCCTACCCTGCAAGCTTAAACTCTCCGCAAAGGTTCTGAACTGTTAGAAGCAAAATGGGCTTCCCTCAAAATGAGTAGTTTGACAGTTTTCTAGTTGTCATGTACAGCAGGTATTCTTCACGAGATTGAGCTGGTGTGATCTTTGTGCGAGTGTTTTCTTCTGAGCCGTCTACACTCTGCATGCTCAACCTGAATGCTTCCTTATAATACGGTGAAAGTGCAAGGCTCGTTGAGTCCTTGAGGTTTCCCGGCGGGTTAAACGGCCCCAACACTGTAACACGGTTCTTTTACAGCTTTGGTGGCTCTCCCGCAGGACCTTAAACCCCAAAACGTTATAGGTTTGTTATTGTAACTGTAGTGTAATGGGCCCCAAAACCCTATTGAAATCATAAAGGCCCCTATAGCAGTTATGCAAGCAGCAACAGTGTGGATGACAAGTCCGGCTACGGAGTGCGTAGGATTTCAGCATTTGATGTCCGGGCTTCGGGGTTTCGCTTGTAGCAATCGGCAGCTTTTTTAGCTTGAGTCCCGAGCCCGAGGGGCCAGCCTGAGGTGGTGGTTGTTCAGCTGGGGCTCCCCAGCCCTTCTTTTCACACCCCAAATCCCTGAACCCTGAACCTCATGTCATGGTTTTGGTTTGAAAGCTCGCGGTTGGACATGTCAGAGTAAGAAACCCTGGCCCTATAACCCAAAAGTAGTAGGATTCATGTAAGGGCTTAAGGCTCTCTGCGACCGATTGTGAAAGCCCAGACCATGCTCTGGCTTTGAGATTTTCTCCGAAACCCACAACTTTGAAGCCAATACGGCAATGAACTGTGCGAAGGTTATCATTCAAGGTGTAGGGTTTAGGAGGATCTAAAGTGCGAAACCATTCTTGCAAAAAGGTTGCGAAAGCTATACTCACCTGGAACCTGGCCCAAACATTTTGTGTTTCCAAATCATGAAAGGTCCGGCTTGACACCCCCAACAAAAGCCTGAAACCCTGCGATATGCCTCCACGCTGTCAGATGATCCATCTCAGGACGCTTCATTTGATCAACATTGGGCGCTACTCGACGAAGGCCATCGAAATTGTCCTACACTCCCACCTACAATAGAAGCCCCAGTCCTATTCAACCCTAATCCCTATACCCCCGGTTTTGCGTTTGACAGTTGTTGTTACTTGTTGCCAGAGCCTTGGGGGAAGATTAAAGCGCTGAACGGCTGTAATTGCAGCCAAGTGTATAGGAACCTGATCAAGAGACCTTGGATCTTATGTAGGGCTCCTGATATGGATCCTAATGTTTTGGGGCCATAGGACCTGGGTTTGGAAATCAGATTCCTACATTGAGTACGGCCCCACTCAGTAATAGTTGAATAATATTCATAATATAGATATAGTAGGACCTTAATGGTAGCCCTATTAATAGACTCTTACTGTATGGGGGCCGTACCTAATTCCTACATTACCTCAAATGGTTCAGTGCCTCGGGTTGACGGTTTGGGGTTGAGGGTTTCGGGTGTTCGGATTTGAGATGCACGGTTTCTCAGTGAGGTGAGAACGTGAGTGCAATCAAAGCTTCCACAAGACCCGAAAGCACGAGGGGTTCAGGGCTTATGGGTCAGGGCTAAAGATTCCCTAAACCCTATAAAGCCCTAAACCCTAAACCCTTTAGGGTGTGGTGTCTGAGACTTCGCGCTCGATATGCACTCGGGCTTGCATTGCAAGCTTGCAGGGTGTCCTTCGGGTCCATTGTACGTGTTTGTTTTGATTTGTGTGTGGTGGTTCTCTAGATTGGGGTCCCTTTTTGGCTCCCCAGAATCCAGAAGAGTACGGCACCCTCAAAGAAGGACCCTAAACTTAGTAGCTGAGCCTATAAACTTTAAACTTTTTGGGATAATGAAACCCTCTCAAGACTGAAAGTTTAAACTTTTTTGGGCTAATGAACTCCGCAACTAGGTAAAAGGGCCTAATTTGGAGAACTACCCGTTTGTGGGACCTCAGAGCATTCAGGATTTCGGATTTAGGGTACCTTAGGGTTTAAGGGATTAGGGTTGATAACGGTTCCATAAGGGTACTATAGAGTCTAGGGTTCCTTAAAGGGCTACCTTAAGGGTTTTATAAGGTTACTGTAGGGTTTAGGGTTTAGGATTTGGGGTGCTCACCACATGTATCGACATGGAGGCCTAATCTTCAGAGCAGCGTGCACATACTATAGGGCTCGGAATCGGAATATTTGTCTACATTACTTACATGGGCCCCTTTAAGGGTTCCCATAGGGATTACTTTGAGGGATCCATAAGGGTACTACAAGGGGTTTAGGGCTTTTAGGGTTCAGGGTTTGGGGTTTAGGGGACGTAATAACTGCCTATATTATTTTTGGGGGAGTTCCTTATTATCAGTATCATGGGCCCTATAGTATCTCGCAAGACTACTCTACTCATTGCGGGCCCTATGCTATCTTCAAAGTTCGCCTTTTTCGATCGTTGGATTCGATCGTTGAGACTAGACCTGGACCACGCCAGACACTTCCTGCATCCCAAACTGCAAGCCCTACCGGCAGCCATAAATCATGATGGGTTTTGGGTTTAGGGGTTGAGGGCTTTCCGTGCAAGCGGCGCAAACAGATATCGTATACTCACCCTAAGCCTTAAACGATCTTCGACCTAAGCCTTTAACGATAATCGACCTGCGTGGTATCAGCTTTCTGTGACTTTCAGGAGGAGGTGACCGCCGCGTTGGATCAGGCCGTGGCAGCACGGGGTGGGGTAGAAAGCCTGCAATCCTGTAGTTAAGCAATGCTCCTCAAACAGGAAGCCTATTGTGTGTACGGATTCGGGCTCAAGGGTTTAGGGTATAAGGCGCTAATTATATCATTTCCTGGATAAAGTCCCACAGTCGTGACTGGGTACTAGGGCCTTTCGTTCATAGTGTTCATGCGTACGTGTAGAACCGCGTCGCGTGGTGCGCTTCGCCGTGCGCGTGTTTTACCCGGCGTCGGCTGATTACAACGGTTCGTGCTTGATCCGTCTAGAGTCATCTAAAAACAACCCTAAATCTTCAACATTGGAGATAATGTGCCCGAACAGAGACCCTTGACAGGGAAGCGACGCAGGAAAGGTCTTGAGACTTGCTGGGTTTTCTTGGCGTTCTTCTTGTTGGCTCTTGGGACTTTGACTTTTGGAGTTTCATATGAACCATAATAAGGATGCTGAAAGTTTAACTTTTAGGAGGGGTTCAGAAGTCAGCCAAGTTTGATAACTAGCCAGGGGGAACTTTAGCAGACATCAGCTCCGGCAGCTCTAAACCCCGCATCTCTACACCATGTCGATCGAAATCCTTTTGCCAGCTGGGCGTCCACGGTGAACTCAGCCTTGTCCGGAACTAAGATGAAGACAAATTAAATAGCTATATTATAATGCAAAGTATACAACATAACATGATATAAGTAGAAGCAGTATCAAAATTAGTAATATGAGATAGTTTAAAACAGGATAGAAAGGAAGAGAATTGAGTAGAATATAACATAACTTAATATCCCAGAGTATATCTGATATGATACGGTAATATATGACATGATGCAAAAGAATAGAACAGAGTATGTTAGAAATGGTATAATATACTTTGGAAGAACTTTATATACCAGAGTACGATCTAACAGAAAAGAACAGAGCTATGCCATATAGCAGTTTATGATACCTTTATAAAATCTAGTATAGTGCACCTCATGTGACATGTCTTGAAAGAAGGCACCGGACCCAACGATGCACCAAGCCCTGCACCATTCGGAGAAGACTCACAAGGGGGTCTGCTTACGACCACAGACTATTTGGAGGGTCAGGCGACTTAGTATCTGGTTATTTCAGGGACTTATAAGTACCAGAACCCCAATCAGGGTCACTTATAAGTCTACTTACTACCTACTTACTATAAGTCCCCCGACCCTCCAAGTATGCCACCGCGACGACGACGACCTAAGCGTACAACCATGAGCATCCTCGAGCACTACAGCGCAAGTTCCTAGACTCCCAGAAGGCCAAATAGTGCTGGGATTACCTATGTTGGGTGGTTGTCAAAATTAGGGTCCCTTTTTGGGTACCTTAAACATTAGGTGCCGTATTATATTAGTGACCCAAATAGGGACCATAATTTTGACAACCACCCATATATTACTCTTAGGGGTTGAGGCTATTGGGTTTCCAAGTTTTGGGATCTCAGACCTCAACACGGTTTAGCCTTAGGCCCTTTAGGCGTTGGGGAAGGTTCGAAAGCGTGCAGCCTGACACCCCAGCGCCCAAAACCCGAAACCTTCAAAGCTCTAATTCTGAATCACTGAAGTGCCGTAACGGAGCTGAAGCTTACAAAAAAAGAAAAAACACAACAATATTGAAATCGTCAAAGCACCCAAACCCTAAAGCCTAAAGGCCTGAAACACAGACTTGAAACTCTAAGCCCCAAAGCCTAAACCCTCAACCCTACAACAAACCCCTAAGGCAGAAACCCACCTCGGTGGTCGGATCGCTTCCTGTTGGCAGTGGAGGTTGTTTTTCTCCGATGTCGGACAGTTAACGGTTATCTGGTTGAGGATTTGGGTTATGGGTTTAGGGCGTGTTTCACACTTTTCTGTTTAGATAACGAGGGGTGTTAGGTCTGGCAGGGGGGTTCGGTTGTCGTGTCGTGATTCAGTTGTCCCCTTGTGGGATGTTTTAGGGTTGAGACGGCTTTACATGAAATTAGGTCTGCTGCAGTTATTAATGCTGAGGCTTCTTTGTAAGTTGGCATCAGAAATGGTGGTCGACCAAGCCTTCGCAGCCCGTATGATAGCACTAAAACTAAACCCTAAAGTAGCCAGCGCGGTCTCAGAGGAGGCATGTAAGCAACTCCATGGCCCACCTTTCGTCACAGACCGTCAGAGCCATGAATTGCTCCCCTTCGGGCGAAACCTCGTGCAGAGGTTGTCACCAAGGATTGCGATATTTCGTGCTGTGGTTGGGAAGATACGACCAGAAGTCAGGGCCGCGGGGAGCGTGTGAGATGGGTTGATTCTCAGAGCCACAGATTCTCTACAAAAACACAAATTCGAAGCCAGGAAACAGAGCAGCATTTAGGGAGGGGGACCGTGCCTTTGAATCGGTGAGGCGTTCATCCGGCTTAGACCGTGATCCCCACAGGGCCTCATGGTGCAGGATGGAGTTCGAATCAATGCCGACACCGGAAAAGATGGGAGTTTCCGAAAACAGGGGTAACCTACTTTGGGGTCCTTATAATAAGGATACTACTATTTAGGGTACTATATTAGGGTCCCCTCTTTTCGGAAACCCCCATATTGTGTAGAGCCCCATGGTGTTTGGGGCTTGATGCAGGATTGCTACTGCTGTCGAAGGGTTGCTGCTGTATATTTCGAGTGCGCCGACCTGAGCCCCCAGACAGTGAACCTGGACCATGACACTCCTACCTAGTAGTAGAGTGGGAAACTTGAACCTTTATGGGTAGTATAGTCCCTATATGATCCCTATATAACCACAAAGGTTAACAGGTTAACCTTTAGTTCCCCATGAATCCCGAGAAGTAGGGATTAAATATAGAAGCCTGAAGACTTTGTATTGTTATTCCCTCTCGGTCCCGTTACATATATCTATGTACTACACTGTAATTAAGCCCTATTCCCTGCCTTTTTGCATGCTCGGCTGTTTCGAGGCTTTTCTTCGATTTGCGGCGCCAGAGGCCTGTGCAAAGGGACATGTTTGTCTGGGGTTTAGAGTTGGGTTTAGGGTTTCTGGTCCAAATCAGGTGGGGCAGAGAGTGTCCCTGTATTTCCGTCTTAAGACCACCTAAGGCCATAAGGCCTCATCCCGACACTGTCAGCTATTTTCCGAAGCCGCCATGCTGAGAGAGCGCCTCATTTAACTCAGTAGGCCCCTGGCTTTTCCGGTTGGTTTCGAGGATGCCCTTAACCCTAAACTCCTAAACCGTAAACCCTAAGACTCCATGCAGTTTCCCAGCACCTAAACCCAAAGTTTCCGGATCTCAAGGTCTAGCTGCGCATGAAAGCCTCCATGTGGGAGTTTCCGAGAATTGGGGGGTACCTTATTTTGGGGTTCCTATAATGAGGATCCTACTGTTTAGGGTACTATATTTGGGTCCCCTATTTTCGGAAATACCCATGTGGTGGTTGCAGCACAAGGATTTGAGACGAGATATTAGGCTGAGGTGCACGTGCACCGCGTGGCTCTTGCGCACACGTTGGTGTTTTTTTAGGTTTACCCAGAGGCTCCAAAGTAGTTCCTTTTTGGGGTTCATATATAGAATCCTATAGGGTAATCCCGAAAAGGAACTACTATGGACCTCTGGGTAGCGGATCGGTTCAGGCTTCTCGCCAGAGACTCAAGCCTGCGACCTGCAGCCTCTTACGCGCAAAACCTAAGCCTGCTTGTTGCAAGCTTAACGAGCCCTCCTTTTTGCTGGAAACTTCGAGTATGTTTTGCTGTATTCATGACGTTTCCTGGGTAGTAGCTATACAGCCCACACCTGGTTCTCTTCAGAGTCATGACCATATAATATACTATACCAAACACTATATTACTATACCCTGGACGTCACTTTCATGGTATATTAATGGTGAGCAGGAGATCAGCAGCTCAGCTGGGGGGAAATGTTCAGCAGGGGTTTAGGGTTTCTAGGGCTGGTGTGGATCAACCGACGATGAGCCGAGCTGGATGCGAAGGTGTGGGCGAAGCAGCAACGACGCGATTGGGTGTATGAGGTTGTAGTTTACAGCTATACCTGTACCCTAAACCTTAAGCCCCAAACCCTAAAACTGTGTAGAGGCTTTACATAAGAAGTCGGACCCGGGGCTCCAGGCTGGGGATAGGTGCTGTGGGGATGGATATTAACTAGGTGGTGCCTGGCTAACACCGAACAACACGTTAAACGCTAAAGGCTACACTGCAGCCCCAAGCCCTCTTAACCTCAAACTTTCTGCTTCAAAAAGGCTTTAAAGTCCATGCAAGCCTGACCTTCGAACAGACCCTTTAAGGTTATCGGGATGCCTACAACGTGGGATCTTTGGATGCTTGAGTTTGGGGGATCTGTGGTGCCTTCACATCCAGACCCTACTCTACCTTGCAATGGAGACCCCCAGCCCTGAAAAGACCTTGAGCCCAGCTTCTACCGAGGGTGAAGCAACCCCGAAAAGCAAAACCCAAGGCTTTAAATTAGACCCCGCCTGCATGCTTAAAGCCTTAACCCCAAGTACTGACCTCTTAAACTCTCCTGCCCTCATAAATCCATCATAAAGAACGGTAGCAATAGATGGCAAGAGCCACAGCAGTACCGGGTCTAGTAGTTCTAGCGGTAGTTTGAATCGTTGCATTCCTTGCGTGCGTTTGCGTACCCGACAGCCTAAACACCTTCCCTGTGAACCCCATATTCTGGAACATGAAACGAGACCCTACGACCCTAAAGCCCGAAACCTCTAACCCTGCCTAAAGCCCGAAACCTCTAACCCTGTAGACCTAAACCCTAGAAGCACACAAAAGCCCCGTTTTGAGAGACCGATTCGAGGAGGCGAGTCGCGCACGTGTGGGCCTTAATTGGATGTAGGGTCTAAGGTTTACCTTACACCCTAAACTTGGGTGAAAAAGGGGCTCAAAAAAAAAACAAAAATTGGGACTGAAACGTTTGGGTCGCGGGGTTTGGTTCTCCATCCCAAACCTGCCTATGGAACTGAGTTACTGGGGCTCGGGGCTTGCCTTGGCATTGCAGGTTTTGGGTTTGAGACTCCACTACAGTCTCCTTAGGAATGAATATTTTTTGTTCATATAAAACCCAAGAGAATATATTAAACATATTTTTTACTATGGTTCTAGAATATTAAAACTATTACTGTTATTATGGTTCTAAGGGGGGGGGTAGAGTCCAGGAATTCGGGTTGGGGTCCAGGGGATGGGGGTTCACCGAGGTTTTAAGGATTTGGGGTTCAGTCTCAGGCCCTTGGGCTCTGGCTGTTGCATTCAGTTCCTGGTACTTACGGCTTGGGGTTTAGACTTCAAGTGCCTCAAAGGGGTTGAGGGTTTAGGGATTAGGGTTTAGGGGTTTAGGGGTTAAGGTGGGATGAAGATAGGTTGGATTAAGAGTTGTTCTGGTCCCTTCAAAGGATATCCACTGCACGAGCATATGGGGGTTCTTCCACTCAGGATCCCCTAAACCCGAAACCCTAAACCCGTAAAGCCCTAAACCTAAACCCCAAACCCCTAAACCCCTAAATCCGAAGCCCTAACACCCTAAAACCCTAAAGCCCCAAACCCTAAAGCCCCAAAGCCAAAGCACCCAATGCTTGGGCCACAGAGCCTTTATAAAACAAGTAGACACTTGGGGTGGGCGGGGGAGATCTGGAGGTTCAACATAGGGGCCATAATCGTCACCTATACTTGTTTTTTTTTTTTTTTTTTTTTTTTTTTTTGGGGGGGGGTCCTTTTATGGTTATAGTAGCGAATGTACTCCAAAACCTTATTCTGACTACTAAGGCCCCTATATTAGATACTTGGGGTGAGGTTGACGCTCGCGCGGGATAACTATCCCCTACTTGTGGTCCCTGTGAATTGGGCACCTAGGAAACGAATTCCATAGTAGAGGGCCTGTACTAAACCCTAGAAACCCCTAAGCGCCTAAACCCTAAAGCCTAAAGCCCAATATGCTGTAAATTACGTAGTTCTCTAAATGAGGGTCCCCTTTAGGGTTCTTGTATAAGGGTGTGGTACTATTCTGTGGACCTAAACAAGCACACTAACTTAGATAACTATCCAAATCCCTAAGCTCTAAAGCGCCTCCACAAAGCTCTATAACCCAATGAGCCCTGAGTCCATAAGCCCTACAGCCCCAAGCGCGGAATCCCTAAACTCAAAAAGCCTTGAAACCTCAGCTTTTACCCTTGATAAACCCTAAAACCCTAAACCCCTAAACCCTGAAGCCTAAACCCTACACCCCTAAACCCCTAAACCCCTAAACCCCTAAACCCCTAAACCCCTAACCCTGAACCCTAAAGCAGGCACTGCCATCAACCTAGGCGACTTGAGGCCGCTTGTCTTGCACTTCTCTGGGTGTGAACCAGGCTTTCGGGGTTTAGGGTTTATAAGGTTTCCTTTCAAGGTTCCTAGAAGGATTACTATACGAGATCCGTAAGGGTACTATGATGGGTTTAAAGCTTGAGGCTTAAGGTGTAGGGCGTAGAGTTTACGGTTTAGGGTTTAAGGGTTTAGGATTCTGGGCTTCGGGTTTTGAGGTGACGATTCAGGGTCCCTAAACCCTAAACTCAGGACCTGGCTTGTAGCCTTGTGGGGTTCAGCTCTTTAGGGTTTTAGGGCCTGGGCTAGTTATTGTCTTTGTTAAGGAAATCATGTCACGAGGAAACAACAAATGCGATGACCTTCCAAACTTAAGTGGGGAGTTGAGGTGTGTGAGTTGTGCCGGTGGCTTTCTGTTGTAGGACCGTGCGAAAACCTGCTCAATTTGTGTGCATGTGTGTCACCCTTATAAACTGGAAGTAACATGAGTCAAGCTCTACTGAGTAGGAAGTACTTTGCAACTTGGGTGGCTGGGACGGGTCTCTGCGTGCGGTGCAAGTAGCGCGAGTAGAAGGGGTGTGCCCGTAACCAGAGCCGGAAAGCGTAAGCCCTAAACCCCAGATGCCGAACCCTTCTGCCTTTGAAAACTAAGTGGAAACCAAGTTTACCGAGCGCAAACACCATCAACTGCAATTGCCTGGGCCTTCAACACTGGAAATGTAAAAGGTGGAATCCTGAACAGAGCGCAAACCGTAAATTCGAATACTCCCGAGCACCCTATAGCAGAAGCCAGAAAGTTGGAACATTAGTATCCTCATGCCCTTAAGGTTTAAGTATCAGACTTATCCTCCCAAACCCATGTTGCAGCTTTCTGTGGTTCACAAAAACCCTAAACCCTAAGCCCCTAAACCCTAAAACCCCTATAGAGCCCTCCAGCCTTACGGCCCTACATCAGGCTGGGTGGTCAACGCCCGGTCGTAGCCGGCTGGGCTGGGAGCTCTTTGGAGCCCTGGTTTAGGGTTTTAGGGTACAGGGTTTAGTGTTTAGGGGTCAGGGTTTAGGGTTCAGGGTTTAGGGCAAAAGTTTAGGGTTCAGGGTTTAGGATTTAGGGTTTAGGTTTCAGGCTTTAGGGTTCAGGGTTTAGGGTTTAGCCTGGTTTGGGCTAGTTCTTCCAGGTTCAGGCAAATCTTAAGCCCTAGGGGCACGAACATACGATGTTTTGCTGGCTTCGGCATGATTCGGGATTCGGGCTCCGATTGTGGCACGATCCGATTGAGTGGTGTGGCATGCATGTAGCTTAGTTAGCTTCTTCTGCATGCCAGTAGCTCAACTTGAGGTTGTAGGAGAGCCCAGAAACAGCGACACGTGAACCTCAAAGGCCTTGTTAAATGCCATCAACCCTAAACCCTAAACCCTTGTAATCTTTCTCGCGCGTGAATGTGTAGTCTTTCTCCCATGGCGATGACGGACATGGCCTCAAGGAAAAGCAGGGTCAGCATTTTACGCGCCCCGACGAGGATGAGGACGGGCGCAAAGACGGCGGCCTGTCGCCAATTTCGGAGAACAGCCATCCCGAAATGGTGGAAATTGCGGCCACGGTCAAAAATGCCGAGTTGCAGAGCATGCCGCTGGACCAGCAGCAATGCATGCCAACCTCGCGGCTGCAACTTCGGTTTGGCCTCATCACTGTAGCAGTATTGCTTTTTGAGTTTTCAGGCTCGTAACTCCCTACTTATAGCTACCCACTAACCTCCGAGTGGTAATAATAATTATCGTGCCCCTAAACCCTAACCCCTAACCCCTAAACCGTCAATCTGCACGAACACTTCTCATACCCCCCTGGAACTTTACGGACCCATGGCAAGACCCTTCCAAATCATGTAGGGACCGTATTAAATTCCTATACTGTTTTGGAGGTTCCGTGTTGTAAATATAGCATAATATACCCCAAAACCCTTTTCTAATTATTAAGGTCCCTATTTCAATCACAGCCCCGCTAAACCCTAAACCCCTGAACTCTAAACCCTAAACCCCTAAACCCCTAGACCCCTAAACCCCTAAATCCCTAAACCCTAAACCTTAAACCCCTAAGCATCTAAACTCTCAACCCTTCCAACAGACCGCCTCAAAAGCCTCGCGAGACGCCGTTGCTTATTACTATCGCGGTCACACAGCAAAGACGCCCTCATGGAAACTGCAAAGCTTATCAAGACAACCCGATGCATGAAACCTTAAGCCCCTTAAGCCCTAAACACCCCTGAACCCTAAACCCCTAACCCTACACCCTAAAGCATCCTAAACCCCTATGTAAACCCTGAACTCTGAATACCCAAAACTCTCAAACCCCTAAACCCTTAAAGCCTTAAAACCCTAGAAGATGAGGCCCGACGTGATCGCTGGCTGAGCTAGGTGGCATGGGCGGGAGAAGAGAAAAGCACGCTTTGGGGCCTTAGGTGGGGTTTAGGGGTTTAGGGTTTGGGGTGTAAGGTATAGTCAGGTCTAGTTTAGGGTTTAGTTTAGAGTCTAGGGTTTAGGGTTATTCTCATCGTAACTATGGCTTGCTCTTTGGGGTTTTAGCGCCAAAATCAACACCGTGGCAATGCTAAGCTTCACCATCATAATGTCAAGGATGGTGATCAACATGGCGATGGCGATCATGATGGACTGAGGACGACGATCACGAGGAGAATGACGGGTAGAATTAGAATCATTGGTGACGTTGCTGCTGCTGATGTCATCGGTGCTTTGACGAGTTTATGTCGCTCGCCAAATTGCATCGTCGTGTTCGACCTTGCATTCCATGGAGTGCTCCGCCTTGAAACTGGTGAGATCTCGGATGTTTCACGCCTTGTTGTGGTTCCAAACTAGATACAAAATCCCTGTGTCAGTCGTGGGGCTTCCAGAAGCCCTAAGACCGTACATCCGAAAACGGTCAAGATCCCAAACCCTCGGTAATTGCCTTGACCAGCGCCCCTGACCTAAAGAACGCGAATAGGGGCCCTTAAGCCTTAAAAGAACCCGAATAAAGACCCTGACATTGGACATAAGCCCATTCTTGACCTGCTGCCGCCAAGACGCAGATTTCCTCAAGGGAGTGCTGCGGAAACCTGAAGTGCACACATCACAACACCAGGTTCGGGGGCTTGGGGTATGAGCCGTGAACAACCCCGAAGTTTCCATCGCAAGCCATGCAGGTCCCAAACCTTAATTCCAACACCGGACGTTCATAGCCCCACACCATACAGCCTCTCAGACCTACACTTTCTGCCCCAAATCCTGAGGCCAAAGCCCCAAACAGAATTCCCCAAGCTCAAGAATTATGCCGGTCTCAGCAAATGAGCCCTGACCAAGGCTGAATATCAAACCTTAGACCCAAAAACCCTAGATTCTGAACCCTATAAACTTGACAGATTCCTTATAAAGCCCTTATGGATCCCTCTAAAGGAGCCCCTACAGATCCCCTTAAAGGCCCTAAACCCCTAAACCCTAATCCGAGTCCGAGCAACTCGGCGTCTCTTTGCGGGGATGGGGGCGAGAGCTTGGCGCTGCCCGGCGATGCGGCTTTCTCGGCTCTGACGGCCGGTTGTACCCGGGGAAATATAGGGGCCTTAATGGTTAGAATAGGCTTCCTTTAAAAGGGTTCCCTTAAAGGGGTCTATAAGGGACGTAGGGGTACTATGACTTTGGGGCCTTAGTATTTTTCTAATGACCCTTTCATGGAACCTTTATGGTCCTGAATAGTGGGGTATTTGGGTATATTACAGGGTAGTTGGGGGGTCTAGGTAGACGATCTGTTTAACGGAGAAGTGTTCTACGATGCTGTAGTGTTTGAGAGGGTAGTGAGGGGTTTGATTGCGTTCAAGCGGATTCAATGGCTTTTGAAGGGTTGCCTTGTTCGTTTACTGGTTTGGGGGTTTGGCCTTTGGGTTTTGCTTCTTTGGGATGCCGGTACTGGATCCGACCTCTATGGCCCAACCCTCCACGCTATCCACGCCCCAGCATGGGAGTGCAACGTCGGTGATGTGAAGCGCCCCTTATAATGGCCTTATACCTATAGTCTCCATTCTAGTTCCTTTTTTTGGTTACCCAAAAACTATATTATAGGATCCTAAAACCACTTAGCCAAATAAAAAGGAATTTCAATGGAGAATGGAGACAATAGGTAGTCTCTGAAATAATCGTACTGTAATATACCCCCAAATATGAGGTGTTTGGGTCGGCCCCTATAGTGCCCCCAACCGGTGAGACGACGGGTACGATCATTCAACTATCAGTCCCAACTCTCAAACTGCGGTTTAGGTCTTATTCTTCTTACACGCTGGTTAAGGAAGCTCAACAATTTCCTGAAAGCCCGAACCTTCAAGTTTAGGGTTTATGAATGGATGCTGCTGCGCTTCAGAGATTTCCAATCCCAACCCCCATTGCCTAATCCCCTGACCTTAACCCCTAAATCCTAATCCTTAAGCCCTACACCGTAGTGTTTGACTGGAAGCTTTTTGCTTCCGGGCCGTGGCTTGAACTGCACCAGGGTCCGGAGTGTAAGTAGTCCCGAAACTGAGTTTAGGCTTTGGAGGTTAGGGTTTAGGGTTTCCTAGTAGGCGAGTAGGTAGCCTTTAACTTTGTTGGGCTGGTATAATCCCTATATAACCCCTATATAATCAAAAAGGTTAGCCTTTAGTTTCCCATGATACCCGACAAGCAGGGTTTAGGGTGGAGGTTAGCGTCCAGGGCTGGGGTCTGTACTAGTTTCTGATTACGGGGGCGTTCGGCTTGATGGGTTGGGACTTCAGTATTCGGGACTGTAGAACTCCAGGGGCTGAGGGGCACGGCACACAGTTTTGGGCGGGTAGGCTTCACTTACGTTGGGTTAGTAGGGAATGGAGGAATGGGGTACAATTATAACTACTATTACTACCCTTCGTCCATTCCCTACTAACCAAAGGTAAGTTTAGGGTGGCTTGGTTTGGAGTGAAGCGTTCGGGGGGTTGGTGGGGGCTCTCCTGGATGAAATAGACTCGTGCAATGTACTGATAGACCCTAGTACCTTTACCTCGCAGGACCTACTTCGGTAGGAACAAATTTGCCATATGGGAGTTTCCAAAAATTAGGGGTACCTTATTTGAGGTCCTTATAATAAGGATCCTACTATTTACGGTACTATATTAGGGTCCCCTATTTTTGGAATCTCCCATATCAGGTTTGTGTTTGCCAAATAGGAGAAGGTAGTGGAGGTCATCAGGGCAGTTCAAGGTAAGCTCTGAGCATGACTTGTCTTCCGAAGCCGTCCAGTTCTCTGATACGCGTGAGAGGCGTCTCTGGTGGCCATGACCGACTATGCCCTGGGTTACTCAGGCCGATCGGGCAGCACTGGTTGGGAGGTTTGGTGCCCTGGGGTCGGCTACCCAGAGACTCCAATATCCCTTAATTAAGGAATATACCTTAAGTTATAGTAGGATCCTTAATATGGTTTTAGGTATATTCCTTGATTAAAGGATATTGGAGTCTCTGGGTACCGACGGCCCATCATAGAGGTTCTTGGGAGCATTCCAGATTCGGATAAGACTCGAAAAGAAAGCACAAGACGGGCCACATGCTGAAGTCGCTGCGTTGATGGGTTTCTTGCTAGACTGAGACTCGCTGTCGTTTGTTGCTTGCGCCACCCTTGTCAGGGAAAGCACACAAAGAGGAGACTATGGCAAGATGCTTTTCATAAAGCGTTAGGCTTCAGGTTTATAGTGTTTTCGGAGTTCAGAGTAAAAGGGGCTCAAGCACAGACGTGGTGTGCTAAAATGTTCAGGCTCTGGGTTGTTCGTTCCATGAGTGGTGTAGAGTGCACGGAGCACCCTCGATCCTATACAGGATCCCCCATAATTTGCGGCCTCCCTGCACAAGACATTCTCAAAACCCTATTATACCACCCTCATAAAACTCAAACCCTACACGTAGTCGGAATGCGGATAGTATTCGTGAATATGATTTCCTGCACTTTTGGAGCGGTTCGATCTGGTACTGGTATTTGCAATGCTTATATTGTTTTGCGGCTCTTGTGTTTTTGGAGTGTTGTCTTCAGGGCTTGAGGGTTTGCAATTGTCCAGTTTCTTTTGCTCTTCATTACTGGACGGTTTGAGCTTCCTGCTCCTTCTTTACGAAGTTTGCTGCAGGTCGGCTGGGACTTGTCATTCAGTCCGTCGTTTCCCTGCTTGCTGCTTAGAGCTTCCTTGCGCCACGGGGGGGGTGGTCCGCCTCGGTGAACGGTGTTCGTGGACCACCACCACCCCCCGCCACCACCACCACCACCACCGCCGCCACCACCACCACCACCACCACCCCCACCACCACCACCACCACCACCACCACCAGGTTTCCTGATGCAATGCAGATGAAGGTGATGATGATCATGATCGTAGTGGTGTGATGATGATGATGATGGTTGTCAACGACGTGCGACGATAGAAATCGACAAATAGACTATGAAAGCCCTAACCCACAAACACTGATTCATGGCTAAGTTGTGAAGAACCCACGCTTGCCGACATTTTCGACATGTGCCGCTGCGTCATCGACATGTTTTCACTCAAAGCATTTGCAAGTATTAACCAATCACGCCATGTGGGAGTTTCCGAAAATCGGGGACCCTAGTATAGTACCCTAACAAGTAGGATCCTTATCGTAAGGACCAAAAAGTAAGGGACCCCAATTTTCGGAAACTCCCATGTAGTTAGGCTCTCGGAGCTTACTTGGAGGAACATGGGTAGTAATAAGTTAGGGTTATAAGCAGGATAACTATGGTTATAACCTATACTAGGGGACTTATAACCCCACCTTTGACTGCCCATGAACCTCCAAGTACCGTCAAAGCACACTGTCCAGGTGCCTCCGCTGCTGGCGCGCTTCTTTCCTTTCTGCTGACGCTTTCTGCTTTTCTCGTCCGAGCCCTGATCATGGCGTGCATTGAGAAGGGGGCTGTAGGGCAGTATACTATACCAGAGTTTGGACATCGTGGAGCAATTCTGAAGAACAGCAGTTGCATGGGTCTTATGCATCTAAGCTCTAGTCAGCTGCAAGAATATCCCGTTACCTCGTTACCGTCCTGACACCATCATTCTGCATTACACCCTAGAAGTTGTTAAGTCCCTAAACCCTAAACCCTAAGAACACAATGGGACCAACTCTCCTGGCCCCCAGGGTCTTTCGTCGACGGTTACCTGAGGCGGAAAAAGGAGTTCAAAAAAAAAAAAACCCTAAACCCTAAATTCACGCCGCCTCTCCATGACTCCCGCATTCCAGAATCAGAGCTGCCTCGCTCGCTTGATGTTTACCTTCCGATGTGGATGTAGGGGCTACCGAGAGCTGAAGAGAGCATGGGACCGCCTGGTGGGCCAAATAGGGTTTAGGGTTTAAGGGTTTAG